TCGAAGCCACAGATAAGTGATATAATTCTAATCTATCCCTCAATAATTTATAACCGCGATAATTTTTGATAGTACAGCCCGTGGTCAGGGAAGCAGCTTCAATTCATTTTTATTTTACAGCAGATAAAATAAATTTTTAATTTCTTTGTCCCTCGCTCATGAACACTTAAGAATCTTCAATTCACCAGAAATAAAGGTATTCGCTATAAACAAAATTATTCGGATTTTTTGGCAGTTTAAGCAGGAGAATTTATTAGAATAATGTGATAAATCGTTGATTTTTCCTCCTTAAAAAAACAGTGTTTGGAATTTAGTATTTTGTTATGATTGCAAAATGCAGACCTCTTAAATCAGTTTCATGCGTACTTATTCCTTTGATGAGTGAATATTTTCTGTTATTTACAGAGAAATTCAATACAATTTTCGACCTGAAAGTATTTTCATTGCGGCAAAAAATCAACTGCAACAAATGGTGGAATTCGATATTCATAGAAAAAATGCCAAGTGAAATAAATATTCATAGTTGGAATTTCGAAAGAGTCGCAATAAGATTCAAAATACAACCGAACTAGCCAGCTGTCATAAAGCAGACAAGCGAGAACTTCAGTTTTCTCACACCCCAGTTTTTTGATCGACTACGACAACCCGCCGAATTATTGCAATTAACAAATTATTGCAATTCATAAGGCCTAAGAAAGATTGTGCCCATTTTACAGCGCTATTGCAATGCGATATATATTCCCGTGCAACAAAAGTAGAACATAAGGAAAATAAAAATATTTTGAGTATCATCAATGATTTTCGAATAGTTTAATTATTAGCGCTTCACGACTTCAAATAATTCGTATTTTGATAACTACGACTTCATTTTTTAAATAATTTCGCCTCAATGAGTCAATTCAAAAATGCCAAATTGTGGAATGTTTCGTCGAATATCTTACAGTCAATCGTCAAACACCTTACTCAAATGGAATTTCACCCAATAGAGAATATTTCACCGAAAAAGGTTATACCTCGCTAAATAGGGTCATTTTACCAAATAGGGAATACAGTATTTCAGCGAATAGAGAATGTTTCTCCAAGTAGGGAATATTTCACCGAAAAAGGTTATACCTCGCTATATAGGGACATTTCACTAAATAGGGAATTTTTCATAGAATAGGGAATGTTTCTCCTAGCAGAGTATTTAATGAAAAATGTCACCAAATTACATTTCACAACAATATATCTGGTACTGCGTGAAACAATTGTGTTTCAAAGTCATTTGACGTCATTGCTCGCAGAAAAGAAAATACATTATTTAGTGCCGATTTATATGACATTAGCCGATCTGTACAAGGAGTTATTCTTCGTACGCACAATTATCCCCAATTGTGGCATCAGAAGAGCATGGCACGATCTTGTGATCACACGCACAAGAATTAATTTTGTTCGTGGCACCATGCAGGCGATATGCTACCAGGTCTGCTTGATCATGTTAACAAATAACCGAACTATATGTTGCAAGCAAAAGGTTGTAAGTGAAATAAGGTGGCAGGGCGTGCAATTTAAGGAATATTTCTTTTCCGGGCGGGAGGAAATTTAGGTTCAAGCATTACAACGAAGAAGTACTATTGGCTTATGCGACCTTTAGCACTTAATTGTAGACGGAAATGGATATCTACTTTGGTGATCAAAAATTAATTGGTCTTATGAAATTTTTCACAATTTCCATGAAATAAAGTTATCTTGGATCGCATGCTTTTAATTGTGAAGCGACAACCGTTTCTGTTCATTAAACACGTTTGTACCAAAATTTAAATACGAGTTGATTGTTATGTTGCTAAGATATGAGTTTTTCTACAAATCAAATATCGAGATACAATTCAAATTATGCGAATTATTATGGTTCATTACATTGATGTTTCTTGGGAGCCTGCCAACGAGCTAACTCAATTTGCCCCTCCTTGAAATGGAACCACGCTTGCAGCAGTCAGTACAGCAACAGGTAAACGCTGCTGTCTCCGCGGAACACGGCGCATACAGCTAGAGAGATGAATTTTACGCCTTCAAGTTTGTATTAAGGCCCTGATTGAAAGCCGAGAGGCTTCGAACAGGCTCGGCTCTTCCCTAAGCGTTTCTTCACTAATTAGGATAGACTTTACTCCACTCGCAAATGAGATGGCGATATGGATTTTTCCATACTTACCCAGCTATTTATTTATAAGCGTCGGCCAGTAACAAAAAATATGTAAACTTTGTATTAAAAGAGTTTTACCGAGAGAAAATTTCAAGAAACTTTGAATATTATTGTTCATCAAGTCTGCGACTTTTACACTTTTTTCGAGATATAAACGGGTTGTAATTTTTATTGTCAATTGAATGGTATATATTCGGCATTCCTTGATCAGCTTCCTTGTTATAGATATTTTCTACCAAAAATATTTATGATCGAGTCTGCTGATAAGCGGAGGGAAAATCCCGCATACTAGCTGCTGAAATGGAGACGTTGTGCAATGTTTGAGGGGAAAGAGACGTCGTAAATTACTCAGCTGTCAGTTCACAACGGGTGGCATGGTAAAGGCGAAGTCAATGAGGGGCGGAGAATAATACGTGGCCAGTGGTCGGCCTATCCAATAAGTTATAGCCGAGCGTTGGCCATTCCTTGGCCACCTGAAAGCGACCAGTTGCCGCGAAGAAGGGTCTGTGGCTAGGATATCATATTACAAAGAGTACAAGCTCGAGGGTAGCGACTGGCCGAGCTTTGGGCAGATCAAGGATTTTACACGATGGTCGCGAAAACCTCGCTCTCAGACTTCGCTGCATTTTGACTACAAGCCTTAACAGCTCTTATTTGTTGAAAGCAAATTTGCATGTTGAGGTGCACAGTTACGAGTCAGAACGGACATCTATATAGTAATCTCAGCCGAGAAATGCTCGCTGTATTTTCGGTGGAAATATCACTGCTGTTATCATATGGGAATAACATTAAAATAATATGATAGGTGGGTAGTAACAATATTATAATATAACAACGCCAGTTAAAATATATCAAACGTAGATTCGATTGACATTATTCAAGCGACGGGACGCGAGAAAAGGAGCCCTTGATGACAGGAGCCCAGCGATGAACGCGAGGGCTCTGGAGGGGCGGCCATGTTGACCTTTCCGCGCCGCATCAAGCGCCTCGCGAGCTCAAAGCTTGCGACAGCGAGGAGAAGAGTGGTTCGCCATTTTGTGGCTTACTTAAGTACTTTAGTAATACAATATGGTGAGTTGAAATATATCCATCCTAATATTAAAATTAACATTATTTATCCATATTTCTCATTCTGCTCGCCGGCGCTCGCAGGCCATCACTATAGCTGCACTCAACCCCCTTACCCGCCTGAATAACGAGGCAAATGACTTAAATACGAACCAAACATACAAGGTATGAATCGCTGCTAAGACCATTGATCAACTTGTTAACACTAAGTAATTAATGAAATGACAATCCATATTTCAATGCCTTGAGTAGATCAGCACCTTGCAATCAAGATTAGTGTAAAGGAATCAGGACTCACTCCAGAGATCCAAGTGAAGCTTGGAAGATCCCAAATTACGGTCCCTGAGTTAGTCCAGCCAATTGGGTCCACAGCCACTCTAACCCAACCAAACCTTGCCAAGGGAGGTGATAGAAACGCGACAGACTCTTAGACATATACTTAATATTTGGTAATCTAAATGAAGGCCCAGATGCAGGTAAGGCTCCGTGAAGCAGGCAAGGCTCCGTGAAGCAGGCAAGGCTCCGTGAAGCAGGCAAGGCTCCGTGAAGCAGGCAAGGTAACTCCAGAGCCAGAGCGCCAGGTAGGAGGATGATGAAGATGAGGAGCCGGTACGTTTACTCGTGGATGAGTAGCCCTCTGGTGGCCAGTCAGTGGGTCTATCTGTTAAGAAGGCATGGGTCAACAATCGCCGGTCTGGAACATTCGGGCTTACATGGAAGGCATGATAAGAGGAGCCGAGGGATTACGAGAGACTAAATATTTTACCGTACAGTGTGACCGTCTAACTGCAGATATGGACAATGCTGCTCAAGGCAGGTAAACTAACAGGAATCGCAAGTCTGACTTACCGAAGGCGGAAGACTATCAGAGCGCCGACCACCTCCCACGAGTTCTGAAGAGACAATTAACAACAGCGGAGACCTGCGGCTAGTAATTAGCTATGATGACGTGGCGCTGTTGCCATTTCAGATGGATTTCCCTGACAATTAGCATCACCATCGATATCATCGACATACATGACATAGTCACTACCATCAGGATATAAAAAACAATGTGAACAAATTAAATGTATTCTAAAATTATCTGTACATTCAAAAGAAGCATAAAATGCACGTTATATACAAAACACACTGCTCGAAATACATAAAAACATTGACAAGGTTAATTTTCTAAGAAATATAGTAGCAAACCTTTGCTACAACTCTACTACGATGAGGATATTAGAACTTTGTTTGAACTCAACTGCTATGGAGCTGACAGCATCTGACATCTGAAAAACCCTCACGGCCAAGACGACAGCACGCATGAGCTGGGAACGGCAACGAAAAATGCTAATTAAGAGGGTTTACACTTAACAAGCGTATGTGGTTTTAGAACATTCATTGGCGTTTTAAATATCAATTAATATATGGTTCAAATGTAAATTAATATAATAAATATTTTAGATTAAATTTTCAATATCACCATGTCAGTTAAATGTGCGAAACAAGCCTTTACAAATTCAATTCTACAATTGAAACCTTCCGGCTAATGATGATTAAAAGTTTCTCTTTTTATCATCACACTAAACCTAGGGAGGAAGCAAACTAATTACCAAATTCGAGATACCCAAAAAATTAAGCGCAAGAATCACCTAGCTTAATTTACGTTTGCTAAATTTTATAGCCAAGCGCAATTTTTTGTCCCCTCTTAAATTGTTAGTTAATTTGTCTCATATCTGGTTACCTCATCCAATTTTTCTTTTTCTTATTCTAAACGTGCACTAAAAACAATCCAAGTTCGCATAAATAACTAGTTACACTTGAAGGCGATAATATTAGCCCAATACAAGGACAACATAAATAATAACACCGTTCTCTGAATGCTTCCATACTCTCCCATCTTTTAAAATGTAATGTCGTGCTGTAATTTTTCTGATTTTAGGTAACAGTTGAAAAACTCAAAAATATGGTAATAACGCGATTCGTTGTACTTAGGATCAGAATGTTCGTTACTTCTTACCTCGCGCCTCACAAAGTTCACTCTCGTACCTTGACCTCTTCCATTCCAAGCAAAATAAGAACGAACAATCGTGACTACATGGCTGTGTGGACAACATTTTTTTTCATTAATAACCGAGAACTGTCTCATGGCAAGGCAGGCAGGCTTGAGCCCCAACTACTTCGCACACTCCCGTTCATTGGGTGTGTGTCATGGTGAGTAGGTTGCGGGAGGATCTTCGCAGAGGCGGAGTCGCCTTTTGTGTGCCCTGTAGACAGAAAATGCAAGCTATTTGAGCAATTTCGATACCCGCAAGACACAAATGAAAAACAGAACATCCTGCGTACAGTCTGATTCCCTACGCCACCGCGCCCTTTAGTCAGATTACTCACCCTCCTAAAAAGCGTCGCTGCAAATGCCTCACACAGCCTCGTAACATTCTTGTGGAAGCCTGTCAGAGTCCCAAAATGCTTACACGAAAGCCTCTCTGAATAAAAACGTCTCCTTCCAAAGCTCAATCTATCAAGTGCAATCCAAATCCAAAGCGTCAACACCAAAATATTTCTGCCTAAGACCTCAACGGATAAGCTTTACACATCGCTGCCTTAGTTATCCCCTCTCAAACCCAATCAAAACTACATTTTCTTATACCAAAGTTTTCTATCGCTCACAATAACTGCACTTAAATCGAGCTTTGTCTAATAAAGAACCTTTCTCCCAAAGAAGCTTTCCTTCCTATAAAAAATTCGAGGTTTCTCAGCGCTATATCTCTCGAAAAAGTTCTGTTGGCTACACAGCGGCGTGTACGTTACCATCCTGGGAACCACTCTCCTGGAAACATCAATTGGCTTCAGTTAAATTGTGTAGAGATAAACTTATCTACCGAATGGCCGTCCTACTATCATTGATTACGCTAGGAAATCAAATTCTACAACGGTTTTCAACATCCAGCCCCTGTAGCCTCGAGTGACTCGCAGCTCCTACGTCGCACCTGATCATCTCTGATATTTTTAAGGGGACCGCCCTAGCATACGAAAACTTCTACAGTTATTATCCGATTGTCATGAAACTTCACATACATACGTAAAATGTAAAAAAAAAACATTTTGCTCCTATGAATTTTTCGAAAAAAATTGATAGAAAACGTGAAACTCATAGAAAACGGCTAAAAAGGGGTACTTTAGAAAATCTATCTCCTCCCACAAATATCATCCTACAACATCGAGACTCAGACACGTATCAATCGATTCGTAAAGACCATATCTATTGACTCTAACATCACTTTTTTCATTTGCCATCTAGTTTTTTTTATTGCGTTTTTTTCTCTTTTTCCCATTTTTTCTCACTTTTCACCCCTCCCCTCCCTTCTCCCCCATATAAAAAACGAACCAGACCGAAATTCAAAAAAGTGATGTTAGAGTCGATAGGCCTGGTCTTTACGAATCGAATGGTATATGTCTCATTGCTGTAGCTTGAAAACTGTAGGAGGAGATAGATTTGCCGTGAGAGCAGTATGAGGTTTTCAGCACGGCCAAAAGACTGCCCGCGCGGCACTTAAATAGACATAAAAGAGTCGCAACGCAGCCAAGATACCGTAACTTAGCCTTAAACCATTCAAGAAGGTATGGAGCAACTGGCTGCACACCTTTCACGTCGCTGTCATGATGGGCACTGAGAGGTTTGGCTTCAGCTCGCAGTTTTAGTAGTCACGCCCCATAATTAGTGCCTTCGGAATTACTTAAGGCCGCCCCCACCTCCCCCCACCCCCCGTTTTATGGGGCGTGGTGCAGTAAAAAATGGAGGTACAAAGATGGGTGTACCACCAATCGATGCGTAAGAAAGTGCTCTTTCAAACAAGACTATGCCCACTTTAGTGCCTTGATTGGCTGCTTAATGCCAGGCCTTCCTTTGTGGAGTGACCAGCGCGTCATTTATCCTCGTAGAGTTTTGTTAAGGGACCTAAAACCCGCCTCCCTTTGAGGAGCTGTCACAAAGTCATTTTTCGACGTACAGGGACGATACTTATACCGTTCGATGCGCAAGAAAACAACCTTTAAGATGAGATAAGAAACAGAAAAACTCAAAGTCTTCAAATTTTAGCTAGGGCGGTCCCCTTAAATCTACAAAATATATGCTGCACGGAAAAAGCTAGTATGTGAATAGAGGGATCCCGCATCATCCTCACCTATCAACATACCACTGAAAAATGGAAGTTGTGTGAATAATGAATTCATATTAAGTCTCGCACTCTTATTCCCCGCCGCCTTATTCTCATCAGACGCAATCTCAACCTCTCAACCAATTGGGAACCCAGTTATACATTTTTTTTCATCTCCATCTGTTACTTTATTTTCTTTCTCCTATTTCTGGCCACTTTGCTTTACGTTTTCTCCGACTATTGAATCAAAAGTGGATCAATGAACGCACTTGCGCACTTGCTTAGGTGCTAAATTCTGTATGTTTTTATGAAAGACAATCATACCGCTTAATACAGTAAATATGAAATCTTCGTGTAGAAGTAATGGCCTAAAATTTCCCGCAAATATGTATACTTTTGAGAGTTTGGTGATGTCGACAATTGGTGATTGTCTAAAATGTTAAGAAGTATGGAACAATTTAAAATTCTAAGAGTAAATGAAATGAATCAGAATAAATGCCCTGGATTATGAGTGACTAATATGATATTTAAGTAAATTTAAGTACGTATCTGCCCACGATAAAAATATCCTGAAACCAAATGAAAGAAGAATGCGTTCAATGGACATTAAAATGGTAAGTTTTAGAGAAAATACTTGTAGGGTTGCCCGTTCTTCAACGCATAAAATTATTCAGCGGAATTATACGAGATTCGACGGCAGGCAAAATGAGTGTGACATCGTTGTCCCATCGTTATCTTTGAAAGATATGTCCACAACCTGAAATTTGTTTCCAAGAGTATAGTTCTAGGTTGGTGAGACTTCCACCCCACCTTTGAATAAAACCTTTTAAACTCTGCAAAACCTGAACTCCTATATATAATGCCAGAATTTTCCAAACTTGGGTAAATCACCCCTTATAGGATTACTTGTCCATTTTCGAAGGGAATGTAGTGGTAAAACAAAGAGTAAAATATTTAAATCCGTCATATGATAAATTTTAATGATAACATGTAATGGGTGAAAATAAGTTATGCATTCCTCCATCCATACCCATGGGGCTCGGTGCGAGTGGCGCCTGCATCGTTCGTCCTGATGTTCCTCTCGTGTAGCAGCATCAGCAGCAGTCGCTCCTCCTCCTCGCTTAGCGCGGACTGGCAAAGTTCAATTCCCAAAAACCTATGATCAGAAATAAAATGAATGTTAATAATGTGATACTAGAACAACACACTAAATGCCGAAAAGGAATGAAAATCAAAAACTCTCTGCGGCGAAAAATATAATTAGGGAAAGTCGGATATTTTTAACCAGCAAAATGCGGCCTGAAAGGAAAATTAGGATTCGAGTTCATCTTATCGAACCTGAAAAAATTCACAACGCCAGAATCATAACCTTTAGCACGCAACTGCACCCGTTGTTGCGGGACGTATAGGCTACATTTATATTACTTGAGGGTCTCTGTCGGCTGGCCCGAAACACACTAGGATGACGAATAAACTAAAAAAGTGTAAGGGGACTGAATATATTTCCTGCCTTCAGATGTTAATGGGATTGCAACCAAAGTCGAGGATAAATTCGTGGCCAACAACAAGAACGCTCACGGTACAACAGGGGTCATGTTTGAAACTATGATTGGCGAACAGACTACATTACGGTTGAAAAGCAGGCCCCATATACAGTGCCAACTAATCCTGACAGTTAATATCTGAGCTAAACTTCTGAATAATGAACCCTACGTTCCAATGAAGATGCTTCCGTATAATTATCATCTTCCGTCACGTTGGGAGATGTGCGGTTGCTTACAACTAAAAGAGCGGCCAAAATTTGGTCCGCCCCAAGATGCTGCAATATCCTCCGGCGTCAAATGCAACACAAAAATAGATAGCAGGTATAGATCAGGCAATTATATTAACACAATTTCATTTGATTAATATGACTGACTTTCCTCGGACATGAACACGACAATATTGTTAATTTACAGCTATCAGTTGCGTTTGGCCTTTAAGAATGATCTACTATATTTAATTATATTTTAGTTACAATACATTGAAATACGTTGGCGTACCACTTTTCAATCGAATTAATTTCGGACAAATTATTTTAATCGAATTGATTTCGTTTCCTTGACAGCTCAAATTTATGGTGGGAAGAGCTTAAGTATTCATCGCGATGTTGGCCACTTCATCAGGCAGATTTTCCGGGATAACCCTGCCGGAGGGCTCGTCAAGGGCCGTTACGCATTTGTTCAGAGTTTCATGCCTGCTCATCATCTGACCCTTGAATGAGGATAACTCGCACTAAACTAACTTCGGCGTCGATCACTCGCTACCCTAACCAACGGAATTGGAAAGTTCAGTTTCCGCGCTCGGCGGGCTGCTCATCTTTTTATAAAATTTAGAACTGTCCGATGAGGAATATCCAGTTTTACTCTATCCAATACCAGGCTCATCATCGATGGTAGATACAGGAGTTACTTCTCAGAGGTTTGGAGTCTCATTTACAACTGCCCAGGCAGCTAGGGCGCTACAAGGTAACTCTACAATGGAGAGCTCGCGGGCGAGAGCAAGGGTTAGTATGTTTGGCACGCATTTGTCACCGGCTCCCGGTATACGGGGAAAAACGCAGGTGCAACATCTTTTTCTTTTGAAAAATAACCATAAATATTAAGTACATGTTGTTCTGGGCCATTAGACGAAAGTATCCGAGCATTCGTATGAATCGCTTTGTCGTAATGACTCACGCGCAGCAGCGAGCTCCAATAAGAATTTGCTTCTGAAATAGCGACATTTAATGTATTTGGCGCACGACCAGTATTAACGCTGGAAGACAATTAGCCATAAAGATTGAATGTGACAACTTGCACTGCAATTTGTGAAGGATTTTCTATTCTATTAGAGTAAGAAAACATCACAGATCGTTGTCTTTTCAATAAAAAATTGCAATATGACGGAAAAGTGTAAAATGACGAAGTCTAATTTGCGGCATCTCTGGCTATGGTCGTGCGCTTGCCTCAAGACAATGCTTCAAGCAGCAAGTCGTTAAATATGTCTCCTGGCCATTCAAGGTTAACAATGACATTCTGACACTAACTTTTAACGCGGAGAAATCTTCTACAGTTTATGTAACCTTTAGTGCTAATTTAAATTCACAGAATCTCAAACTACAGAAACTGGTTATCCATCATATATATGCCGCGTCAAGCCGAACAAATACGTAGCGGGACGAATACGCGACCTTGGCAGTTAAAGGTTTCTGCCAGCGGGCCCGAACATACGTGGTTGGAAATGAACAAATTACAAGCTTGCAACGGACTCAAAATATATTCATAAAGGGAATGATCATGAAGACCTTATACAGTGATGATATGCGACGGTACAAGTGGAAAAATGGCAATCAGTCTAACACCTAGTCAATGATAACAGTTCAGAGTTGAATCCAGATAGTGATTAAGAAACCAGACGTCCAAAGGAAGACGTGTCAAATACTTCTTATCATCGGTCATGTTCAGAGAAGTGCGGCTGCTAACAACGAATAGCGCGGCCAAAAATTGGCTCGCTCCAGGGTAAGTTACACTGGCAGAAGCGAAAATGAAATAATAGTCGTTCTCACGACCCGCATTCAGCTGCTTTTGTTGGTCTTTGCTGCATTCCTCTACCAAGCATTTTCGAAACAACTTCAGTCAGTGTGATAAAAGTCTGAATGTTATAAAGTTTTCTCTCATGAACAGTGACTAAGGAAACTTTTATTCCATCCGTATGTATAATAGACAATTTTTCTATACTGAAGTCAATGTTTACTTAATAATGAATTATAATTATGTGACTGACTTCTTGCATCTTGGTGCATAGATCAGCACCGTCTTGGCCACGTCCTCCCAGGTGCCAGCACCGGGGCTGAGAACCTGCAGCACAGGAAGAGGCAGCGCAGGTAGAGGCGCTGCTGCAACAGCCGTGTCAAGTACGGGCGTGCAAACGCCTGTTGGGAATATGGAATTAAATTACTTTTTCAATCTATATTTCACAACATAAGTTCACTGTGTGCGAGAGAAATGGATGAACTGTGCAGTTGGAATGGAATGGATAAATGGAAGACTGCGCAGTTTTGATTCCGTCTGGAAGACGTTACAGTTGCAGCGATAACTGCGCTGGAAAGCATGGATCTCCTTAAACTGTGCAGACAAGTTGGCGCATGTCAACGGTTGCACCGTTTTCCGAATTCTAGTATTAATTCATAAGCACTTTGAAAATATCTTTGAAAGTACTCCAATATAGGTACAAAATTTGTTGGTAGTGTATAACAATATCAAAGGGAAGAGTCACAAAATCATGATTAAAGTTCTCTCTCAAATCTCACCGTGAAACGAGAAACTATTTCAAAGGATTATTTAAAGGGGAAAACAAGCTGCGCCGGAATACAAGATTGGAGATGTCAAATCGAAGTGCAAGGATTCTTATCTGATAGTTTTTAAAAAGATCAGTTAAAATAATATCCAGTAATTAATTCAATCTATGTCTCAAAATATTCCAAAATAGCGCACTAAATCAGAATAAATCATCAACTGAGGACGTACCTATTTGTTTACAAAGAAAGAAAACACAGCAAGAGTTCTCACAAAAAGAACAATTAGAAAGAATGAAAAAAGGGAAAATAGTATAAGATGCGTTTGCTCGTATTTAAAGGTGACAGGGGTTACAGTTATGGGCATGCAAACATGCGAAGGTAAACAAGCTGTAAAGCTTGAAGCTTAATTAGTTAATAGAGAAGGTCAACGGCAAAACCCCAAAGGGCTCAACTTAAGGCGTAAAGCCAGTAAGATTATTTTTAAACGAGCAAACACTGAAGCGCGAATAAGCAATTTTAAAGAACTTAACAAAATGAAATCACATTTGCACCACTTAAAATCAGGAAAAATCACAAGATTTCTCTAATGGAAGGAAATTATTCCAAGTATTAGATCCGCACAATCGTTGGTTTGAAGCAATAATGACAGCGATTGGACTGAACAACGACTTTCTCGCCTCAGTCCAATCGACTATCGTATAGCGTATGCGCAATAATGAAGTAATTAAATAATAAATTTTGAAAGCTGCCTTTTGAGGAGCCATTACCGCAACCGCCTTGAATGCTGGGTACTTCTGAAACGTTCCCATCTTCTCTTTTTAGGAAGACACAATGCCAACATTGACCACATTAGTACCTCCTCCATGACGATATCACTCAAAAATGTGCGATATATACATATGTACAAATATATCGGCACCTTCTAGACACTTCAAAAATTTGCAACCTTTTCATTCCGTCTTACGTATGCGCAGGTCAAAACGTAGCGTTTGGACCGACTGTTAAACTTTGACCATGCATTTATATACATGGGTGCATGCCCAAGCTGCCAAAAATAAAATGAAGTTCGTAGCCCTATAGATACGGTCACACTTTTTCATTCTCACTGTGACGTAAATAAACTGCAATGGCAGGAATCAAAACCAACGTTTCGCACTTCCGTTTATCATTGGCAGATAAAATTTCGGTAACGTTGATCTGCAGCAAATAACACCAATGAAATTCATGTACAAATCTCGGTTAGAGCTTTTGTTGCTATATTTAAAATTACTTTCAGATGAAGTCATGTAACAGCTGCGAGTTGCTTAGAAGAAACGCTAGTGCTCAACCGGCTTATTAGCAAAATTCTTTGCCGACAGTATAGAGCAGCGTGAGTCACGGGGGAGCATGCTAAACGCCACCCAAAAAAAAAACATAAAAGGACTTAACCTAACCTCATAGGCTGCAGGTAGTTAGAAATGCGGTCCAAGTGTGCTGGTAGAGGCAGTCATTGGCTGCAAGAAAGTTGTTAGCCGGGACAGCGTGAATGGGTTAGGCCAGAAGAGGTTAGGCCGGAGTAGGTGCAGCCGGATAAAGAGTGCATATTCAAAGTAGAAAGTAGCCTGCTTATGAGCGAGCATGCTTAATTAAGCATTAGCTGACGACCTATTGCACAATTATCTTTCGGCAGTGTGTCGTTTGTCTGCGGCTTCTAGCTACGAAGCTAAGTAAAGTTAATGAGTGATGAAATTGGGCGTTGGCTCCAGTGCTTATTTACGAGTAAGATTTGCGGCCTGCGCTGCGCCCCCGAGTCATGAAGCCATTCTGATAACAGGAACTAGTCTGACATTTTAGGCATGAAACGACAAGATCTTACTTTCCCCCAATTGAGGGACTCCAATAAGCAAATGGCATCAATGCGATAACGAAACGAATATAATGAAGAGAAAAAACTGGAGTGCGAAGCATAAATGGTATGAAGCCGTAGGAGCAGCGAGTTACTTAGATTTTTGAATCCAAAGGCGTTTCGAACAATGTAATCTTAGAATCCATTTGAGATGAACTCATGATTATAATATTTACCATACACGGAAAAGAAGATGCATATGAGTGACGCTTACGGTGGGCGGGTATTTGAAATTCCAGGCTGTTCTACTAACACATCAATACATGTGATGCGTACTGGCTGCTCCCACTGAGAATACTTACGCAGTTCAGCGTATTTCCCGTGCAGTGCGCTGAGGTTGAGCGGCGCCTCGACCCTGATGTGTATGGACGCTGAAGCCGCGGCCGCTGAAGCTAGCGCCGCGATGCCTGCATCCGTCCTGATGTGCCCCTGGAAACTTTTGAGCTCGGAACTGCAGGAAGTTAAGAATGTATGAGAGTTGGAACTAATTACTAAATGAGCAGGAATTATTTATGGCATGTTTATACGAGACAGAACTTTCAATTTAGAAGAGTCAGTTACCCATTTCATGATATTTCGCGAATGAATTCATTTCACAAGTTCTTGCTCTTGATGTATTGCCGCAATTTGGAAGGAGAATATACTGAATGTAAAATATTTACAGACAACACCTGCCTCGGTTACTTGTGGATTCCTGATGATCTTCGAACAATTCTTTTTAAAGAATGGTAGTATTAGAATGTTAAGTTTTCTATCGTTAGTCAGAGAAAGACCCATTTAAATTTCCATGAAACAAAGAACCACTCATACCCTGTTTCGATATCTGAAATATATAACATTTTAAATAACATTAAATGCTACTTTTCAAATCGCTAGTTCAGCTTCTACTTCTTGAATTGAAAAACAATTCATTAAAAAAATTTAACTCAACCCTCGTTTAGCTCGGCCTCGTAATGTCGTTAAGAATCAATTTAATTTTCAGAGACAGATAATATCCAATACGATTTGTATTGAGGATACGCTCACGAATCAAACTTATTTTCAATACCCTTCTCTAAATACACTAACATGTTTTGAAAAATAACATATAAATAAGGAAAAGTGACTCGTTGCGTGTCATGCCAAGGCTCGTTACAAAATCAGATACGGAAAATATTTTCAGTATATTTCGAATGACTCGTGAAATTGAATGCTAGTAGAAGCTCGAATGTTATTCAGAGATATCACAAGCTAGTAACTTGAACACCGACCTATCGAAGCTATAATCGTTTCGAGAACGCAGCCCGAGCAAATAATATTGTAAGACGTATGATTCACCTGCTGCAGATTAGAGGCTGCAGAACATCATCACATGGTGTAAAATCAGGGCTCGTGTCCAGAATTTTCAGATGGATTCCTCCGGTATGATGCTTTAAAACCTGTTTCCAAGCTGGGCTTCTCAAAGCTTCCAACGAAGCCTTCACCTTGACGAGCGTGTCTTCCGCGTAAGGCAACATCAGTGCAACCGCTTCCAGGTCCCGTCCTGCAAAAGACAACTTGGCAAATAATGAATGAATCGAATATATGAACGTACATGAACTCCCAGCATAATCACCTACCTATTCAGCAAATCCCTTGCATGTTTTGCATACAAAACAAAAAAAATACACTTCAGGGTCAATGGACGCATGACACTCACTGCTCTGGATAATGAACTGCTCGTCTTCCTTCCGAGTTATTCGAGCAGCGAACTCGGCGAGCGCGGGCTCGTGAGGACGGCTCAGCAGCACCTCCCACCAGTGCCGCGCTGAGGCGCCCGCTTCCTCCATCGCCCTCCTCAGTTCCGGCCACTGGGCCTCGAAGTCCCCGGCGTCCCGGGACTGTAGCTGAGCGATGACTTGCTGCACGGCACTCGCAGTCCTGCGAATAAAGTCGTCTGGACACTCACTCCAATTGTAGAGGCTTAACTCATAATATGTTTATTGTGCCAAAACATAAAGTAAAGTACAGTCAAAGGTTCAAAGTATTTCAAAATGTCTTACTACCGAAATATTACGCGCATAAACAGGTCTGGAAATAACACTTTATACTGAATTAACCCCAATATGAACGACACGCATACTCTATGGTCTCTTGGCAGACATTTTGAGAATCTTGAATCGAGGAAGTTATTTGACTCACCCGAATTTAACCGCAACCTGAAGTTTAGTACACCCAGAAAACTCGTCTCGTGGACACCCAACACCCAGCAAGAAAAGTCAAGATCACGCCACACTCACTCGAAAAAGTCAGGCAGGTCATCTGCCACAAGATCACACCACACTTACCAGATAAAGTCAGGCGGGTCCTCTGCCACAAGATCACACCACACTTACCAGAAAAAGTCCGGCAGGTCGTCTGCCACAAGATCACAAAACACTTACCAGATAAAGTCAGGCGGGTCCTTTGCCACAAGATCACAGCACACTTACCAGAAAAAGTCCGGCAAGTCGTCTGCCACAAGATCACAAAACACTCACCAGATAAAGTCAGGCGGGTCCTCTGCCACAAGATCACACCACACTTACCAGAAAAAGTCCGGCAGGTCGTCTGCCACAAGATCACACAACACTTACCAGGAAAAGTCCGGCAGGTCTTCTACCACAAGTTCACACCACACTTACCAGAAAAAGTCCGGCGGGTCCTCTACCACAAGATCACACCACACTTACCAGAAAAAGTCCGGCAGGTCGTCTGCCACAAGATTACACCACACTTACCAGAAAAAGTCCGGCAAGTCGTCTGCCACAAATAGCTCCACGAGCCCTTCCCTGCTCGGTGGCAGGGAATAGAAGTATTATGAAACTAATGTTCAACCAAAAATAAGGTATAAAATAGATTAGTACCTAATTGGTAATAATAATTGACACAGTATTTCATTGATTGTAGAATTCAATAATAATTCATCAGGATATTTTTTCTCTGGCCTTACTCACTGATTTTTTACTTAAACAACACTGGTTTGCCATATATTCGTACAGAATTGGTTAATTAACAATATTTATCCGAATTAAAAAAGGTTCTAGCGGTGTTTGTTTTATTTCCTATTCCGTTTATCACTGTCGACTTGTAAATAATTGCCAAAAATTATGTATGAAATAACCATCAAGCCAATAGGATTCTATTGACATTTTTATGGTTTAAATTACCGATTCTTCTACAGAATATAAATAACTTGGAAGTAAAATTGTAAGTCTGGCATTTGTCGCGAGAAGCCCTCAAGAACGCGTGCCTGCCTCTATGAATCGACACATGCGTCCAACACAGGTATTGTGAACGACGGTATTAGTAAAAAAAATGAGGTTGCACTGCTTATGTAATCGATGTAGAAATATACCGCAAGTATTTCTTGATTTAATATTCGCTTCACTTGATCATGTGAAAACAACAACAGGAATGGGTCTGAAGATTATGAGACTTACCCGTTCTTTGTGAAGCGCGTCTGCCCGCCTCCGATGCTTCTGATGCCGTCGCTGTGCAGTTGCAGCAGCAGCTGCCATACCTCGTCCTCCTCTAGCCCGCATTTTGGCAGTCTTATTTTGCCAAGTCTGCAAAAGGAACAAAATATATGCCTCACAATATCATCAATGATACCACCTGGTTGTCATAGCGTATTATTGTAGATGCAATAAAACATAAACTTCTATTTATTAAAAATGAAAAGGTTTTATTATAAAGTCGCCTGATGAACAAATGCAACATGGAGGCGTTGCGAGCTTGTCGGTTAACAGGGTGACCGTTTACTTTAGACGGAGCCTAGCGACAATCTGGTTCGTTTATTGTAGCTTATTCGAAGAAACAAGAACCTGAATATTATGTTTCGGGATTTTCAATCTCAAGTGTTCAGGAGAGTATTTTAAGTTCCTATGCGGCATTCTCATGTCGACTGAATAACCTTCTGGTGTGCGGGGCGATTGTGCAAATGGCCCTGGCGATCGTCTCGCGGCTGCCGGGCTTGGCGTCAAGTACCCAGAGTTGCGGCGGAGGATAGGCAGGCAGACGCCCCTCAGCAGCATCGGGCTCACGTGTCTCGAAACCATCGTCTTGCTTCTCTGGACGCAGCGAGAACCGAGTTGGCTGGAGCACGGAAGCCCAAGAATCTTCCAGTGGACGGATTTTTGCCACTGCGAATGAAACAAAAACCAAACTCATGCTAATGAGCTGCAGAAGAAATTGCATTAAGTTGTCCCAAGCCTAAAATTTTGGCATTACGTCCATACAACTCGCTCAGAACTTACGTGATCTCACCTAATATTTTTTATGATTCAGTATAGGGTGTTGGCGAAATAATTTCAGAAGCATACCTGTACACACCTCAGCTTAGGCACTTGCAAAGAATCCCACTTAAAATTCCTAATAAATTCGATACAATAGGAGCCTGCAGTGTCAAAATGACGCTTTTGAATCTCTGGCATATATTGGGAGCTACAGATACAGTACCGCCGTGCGGCTGGCTGCAAGCATGTACACTACATTTTGACCTGAAATATTTCACTGCCCTGTTGCTGTGAAATTCCTGTGGCAGCAATTGACATGTTGCCGAATCCCATCTGACTCATAAACAACTTCAACATACATGGTGGCAGTGCGAGCTAGTCGGTTAACAGCGTGACCACTTAGACGGAGCCTGGCGACAGTCTGGTTCGTTCTTTGTAGTTTATTCGAAGTAATAAAAATTCGAGTATTATGAAGATTTTTATGTTTTAAATTACTAATTGCTTTGTGTTTCATGATATCAGTTTCCTTATGTGGTTAGTAATATGAATAATCGATTTTATAATATTATTAAAATTATTTCGGATGAAAGTCCCGGAAATTCTGCAACTACTGAATTCTATAAGCGTAGTGAGTTAAAGCAGCAACGCATCTCATAGGAGTCCTTGAATGGGTTCGAAGCTCGATCGCCGACTTTCAGGATAGTTCGACCGGAGCGTTTGAGCAGTTCGTGGCGTCTCATGATTAATCCTTGACGATGCTATTTTTGTAATTAATGTAATGTTTTACACCGATATGGAACTATACAAATGTACAGTAAAATCATAGTTTGGGCAGAAGCGTTGCAAAATTTTATGCACCTATTTATTTGTTCTATTCAAGGGCATTAGGAAGCGCTTGAACAACAATTAAATTTAATAAATGTTAAAACATTATTCTTGCCACTGCCAAAACGGGTCTGATTTGATGCCTGCATGCCACCAGTCGCGACCAACGACAGAAGCATGATTACCGCGCCAAGTCTGCTCATGCAGCGCTCCTGTAGGCAAAGTACCCACCTAGAGCTAAAAGGTATCCCAACAACCATCAAAGCTTTTTCAGGTGAACGGCAGAGTATCGATCACAAAGCTCAAAAAATGTCAGCACCTACCCAAACTCTTATATTTGCCCTGTAGAGCGTTCAAGTTGAGCGGGGCAGAGAGTGAAATGGAAAGTTCAGTAGTGGCCGCCGTGGACACAGAAGCCACAGCGGAGACGCTGGCAGCACTGCTGATACTGCCCACCAACTCGGTAAGCAGACACCTGCGCGTGGCAAGCGTCATTTTAGAAACTAACAACACCACGTGTCACTGTCAGTAAAGAAGCTAGTAAATGTAAGGGTGAATGTCAGTACGGAAATGACCTATAAATTAAATATAATAACTAGAACCCATACGTAGCAATGACAGCATAGTAACTGACACTAAAAATATGATTGCTAACTGCAGAATGTTCTTGCAAGCGCTTTTGTATGAGCCAATACCTAAGGGCTAGCTCAAGTTGATTTAAAAATTGGCTAATTTTACGCACTAGCAGATCTGTTCATTGATAAATAAAAATCGTCAATGAAATTAATGTCTATTGTCCTGGTAACTAGAGTTCTCGTTAGTAGACTATTATTTACGTGCTCATGAATCAATTAAATTCTTAAAAGAGAAGCGTCACTAGCCTGGAACCCTTTAGGCAGCCAAGCAGATCTTCACATGGTGCTCGTGTCGCGACGGAACTATCCTCGAGGTGCAGCTCAAGTTGTCCTCGGTATAGGCTAGTCAATCCAGACCAGCTAGAGTCAGCAGCGGCCAGCTCAGCAGGCGGCAATTTGATGTTGATGAGACGAGGTTGCTCGTGGGGCAACATTAGTGAAACTGCTACCAAACTGCAAACTGCAGACAGAGAGGTCATTGACGCCTTTGGAGATGTGATTTGAGATTTGAATTATGGGTGAGAAAATGAAAGAGAGATCTGATCTCCAATCTGGTTTGCTATAGAACTTCTCACTTCTGGCATGCAGCATCTAAAACTAAGATCCGCAGTAATCTTAACAACGGTCTCCTACCTAGTCAAATGTCGCAAATGACCAACTCGTTAACCTGACCCACCGGAGCGAACGGTCCATTCATCTGTCGCTGTGATCGTGATCTTGGCCACGTGTTTCGCCAGCTCGATGAGGCCAGGACCCTGGAGCAGCAAGTTTTGCCAGTCATCGCAACTGTAGAGCCCAGTTTCGGTAATGACTTCCCTCAGTTCAGGCCAGTGGCGTTTGAACAGCAATGGACTGCTGCTTAGGTCCTGCATGACGTACGGCAATACATCCAGGAAGCTGCAATAGAATTAATATAAATTAATCATATGATATATTTATAGAACTTAGTTGCTAGCATAAATCGAAATAGGGGATTAAGCATATGCTATTAAGAGGAGTATATGCATTTCAAAGTAATCAGATAAAATATTGGGAATGACATGAAATTGAAAATTTATCGATATGCTTCTCTGAGTAGGTTCACAAAACTATAACTTGATTTTCTGTTACGGAGAAATGCGAGTAGATCTTATTTTAAAACCAATTATTTATCAGAAGATGAACTACCAATTTCAGTTTAGTTTTTCGAGACTAGGAGCAACTTTGCATTTCCAGGAAATAAGTTTATCAAAGATTTTCTTAACCGATTTTGCTTCAAGTTCCATTCAATATAACGAATGAGTTTTTGCGCTATATTAAATACAGCTCTCTCGTGAGAATTTTACTTGGGTGCTGCACGTAGTAACTTTAGGTATTGAAATAATTCCAAGATTAGCCCCAGACTTTGGTTCTCTGAATGGGCAATTCTTTTAAATATAATTAAGTCATGAACACATTGCACAGTCTACTTGAAAAGAATTTTATAAATCTAGGTTTCACCGTTCAAAGATTGGTTTAATTGTCTAATATGACCACTGGCATGTCGCGCGAAGTCATAATCTCACCTCGTCTTTATCGCCTGTGATGTGCCTAGTATTTCATGGAGAGATTTGTCGTTCTCCAATTCTTCGATAACAAAGAGTGCAGCGAATTTTTCCTGTATTGATTTATGATTGAAAGAGTACGTGGCACCAGTGGTTCCAGGAAAATTTCTTTTGACGGTAAAAATCAGTGAGAGGAAAACTTTCGAGTCAATTGCCATGGCGGCATTGTGTGCGGTCATTTGGTCGTGGCATTCTCGCTCAAACAGCAAAAACTCGTCCTTGGAGAAGGCCATCTTGTCCATGGAAAGATACTTCAAAGCGGACTTGCCGATTACCTTGAAAATCTTGTTGATCAGAACTGATCTATCGGGGACGTGCAAGTCGCACAATTTTCTTTCAATTACAGTCTTGTATAGCATCAACGTGTCCCTTGACAAGTCTTTTGCGCTGTTCCAATTGTCTATCATTTTCGGAGAAGTCAAAAAAATGGTGCAGAATTGAAGTAGAGAAATGGGCAGCGTTATCAAATTTCTAACTTCAGGGTTCAGTTTGGAGAATCGATCCTGCATCGCTGCACAGGAAGATGGGTCATTGGTCAGATTTTGTTTACATCCTCGGATAAACTCCAACTGCTCTGCCAGCTCTGAGAGAGGAGTGATACTGAAATGAGTAAAGCTACTTTGGCGAATGAACTGCTCGAGTTCTTCGATTGCTTTTGGACGAGTCGTGATAATAATGCGTGATTCGGAGTGCCACGTCTTTTGAAACAATTCTCGCAACACCGCCATAGAATTTCCGTTGGCCTCGTCAAATGCGTCGACCAAGAACAGGACGCGAAGATACGAGAGAGTTTGCATAACATTTTCTTTGTCTATTTTTGAGTAAACATTCCCGAAGTGCTCGCGAAAAACTTGATGCAATTTGTTTTTAGTGTCATCCCTGCACTCGATGAAAACAAGAATGTCGAAACTCTGTAGGTAGTCCGGCACTTCGCACTGCAATCCAAAGAACTGTTTGATTAGGTTCTTGAGTAGCGTCGTCTTGCCAGCCGCTGCAACACCGGACACAACAACGACTTTAGTTACAGATTCGAATACTTCCGTGTAAGGATATTTCTTGTCATCTTCATGAGGTAGCGTTAGTTTGAGTGGGTAAAAGTCAGCCGACAGTTTGAGATGACCTACGCCGCAGCTTAAATCGTTGGTGAAATTTTGTAAGATAAGTCTGACGTTTTCTTTTCCTTCGTTACAAAGGCAGTGCGAGAAATAAGTCTGTTCCATGTCACTAGGAGAGAATCCCCTGCTTATGTCGCTTCGCAACTCAAATTCCAGCGCCTTTACCTCACGCCTTGAGAGTTTGTAAAATTTTCCTGCCACTTGAATGAGTTCCAGCAACGTATTGTGCAGTTCTGGAAGTTTTGACGGATTTCTAATTGCGCTGTGCTCATGCGCTATTTCATTTCTTATGTCTTTGACGGCCTCCAATTTAGTTTTCAGTTCTTTGCACTCACTTTCTTCGTATTTTGTTTGGAAGAGTGCAAAGAACAGAGCAAAGAGTTCCGTTGTATCCATATCATCGGGAGAGGTTTTGTCCTGGAACAACTCACGGTATCGCCAGTTCGGACATAACCTCCTCCAGTTACATTCAGAGAAGTTGCTGTGTTTTATTTGCACATATTCCTTATACGAGTGATTTGTTTGCTTATCACTACATTCAATGTTTAATATCTTCCGGACGTACTTCGGAGCAAGCTCCCAACTTCCTTCGACATTTTTTCGGATCGTTTCCATTTCTTGAAGATCGCCATCTGTGCTTGGGGATAAAAAAATGTTATCTTGCACAGAAAATACCAGAAATTTAAAAGCAAAGAAAATAGCCAAAAAGTTCACAATTTCTTATTAGAGAAAACGTTTTGGAGTCCAGCTCTATCGTCAGTTCAAAACCTAGATCACAGGTACAAACGAATAGTAACCTAGGTAAATTGTTCGAATGTGAATTTTAGGTTACTAATTATTTGTACCTGTGTTCTGACTTTTAAACTGACGATGGAGCTGGATTCCGAAACGTTTTTGCTTATAAGAAATGTTGAAGTTTTTGGCTATTTTCTTTGCTTTTAAATTCCTTGTAAAATTGCGATTTAAGCAACCAAGTGATCTTAATACTTATAGCCGACCAAAGCACAGAAAATATTTTTTCAACTTATTTAAAAAAAGAATAATATATTGGTGGCTCGATTTGAGGTAAAGCCATTCGAAATTTTTTAACTTATTTCTTTGTATACAAAAATTTTTTCTGACGTTGTGAATTAGAATTCAATTCTTTGATACTCGGCCAAACATTTCAACAAAAAAACATTTCATTGAATTTTGTCGCTAAGTGGTATAGGGTACTTATACCCAAAACGATTCCATGAGCAGGAATCGTTACCCAGTCAAAGTTTTCGTTCCAATCAGGGTCGCCCCAGTGTTAATGGTGCAGGTGAATCAGGCGCAGATCGGCAACGCACTGTATTTGGCTTCTATTTAGCAGCCTCTTTTAGAAGTCAATTGCACGGTGGGCCGAATCTGCGTAATATGACTAAAAAGAGCAGCTGCCAATCATGACCATCTCCCGCTTTAAAAATGACGTCGATGAATGTACACGCGTACGTTTGCTTTGCAATACGACGGAAAAATGGGAGTCGACTCTAACTTGACGTATAGCATGTGAATTTAGCCAATGATGAACAAATCCATGTCCGTACTATTCAGGAGGCTTGTTTTTAACCTGGCACCTCNACGATGGTAGTGGCTCCCGTCGTCAGTAATGTAGTTGATTCTGTTCAATCGACAAGAATTATAAATGAATAGTAAATCAATAATCATCGTCTAACATAAATTATCTATTAGTCATTAACCCTGAAACCAAACTTATTCATAAACGTAATTCATCAATCAAATCTTACATCTATATGTACGCCAAACATGCGGTATCTAAGTAAATAAGCAAGACCACAATTCTGTTTGGCTTCGTTGTACAGTTTCAAAACTCCGCCTAACAGGAACAAAAACTCAAGCTGAGCTATCTGAAACATGCGTTTTGTCACCTTACATTTGCAGATTGCGGGCTGTAAGCTACATCTGACGTGATCGAAACTGAACCAATATCGCATACTGAATTACAAGGAAAACTTACATGTAAAGTGATTACTGCGATCCTTACAACTGTTTGAACTTTCTAATGTGTTCACTTAGTATAGTATAGTAGTATAGTATAGTATCTTCGGCATTAAAGAGTAGGCCTGGATAGGCCTGTCGCCGATTCTTGTGCTTTTCTTGACTAGACTGGCCTTTTGATGAGATCTTTTCAACGGACGAGTGCAGTTAGAGACGAGTACAATTTCCGTTGAACGCACGCTGTACTCTGCATGAGTCTATAATATTCTGTGAGCGCTACCCATTGTTCACACCTTATACAGTGTGCACAACACAATGGAAGCTCAATCACTGCGTGCGTCGTTTCGTTTGAACCGATTGAGTGTTTTGTCTTCTGCGCGCTGAACCAGTGCTTTGCACGGTCAACTGGATGAACCATCCATTAAGTGCGCAGTCAGTTGAGTGTGTTCCCTCTTTTGCACACCGTCTGTCAAGTATGCTTCTTTATTTGTGCTCACTATATTGTGAGCTATGCTCAATGGAGGCGGCATTTATGTACCCAATGAGGATACTTTCAACTGAATATCTGAAAAATTACTCGTCATAATTAAATTAAAAAGAAGTCAAAATTCACTATGGCTGCGATACAATTGATATGTTTTATTTGCAGCTTAATACAGAACCTGCTAAAGACTGATAACCGAATAGTTCGAAGCGAAGAAGTTAATTTCAAACTTTTTTCTCTTCGTTTTCGTATTGATTAGCGAGGAAAAAAATCTTCTATTCTTTCTAACGCAACAATTGCAATGGGTAATGCTTGCAAAATATTTTGTACAATAGATGGCGTGCAGTATTCAGTAGTTTACACCGTCTGCAACGCGAAATGTCCATTACTTTTACTGTCTATACCCCTGCGTGTACAACTATTGACTTCCTACTCTGCCATTAGGGTGCGCGTCTGCCTGACTGTCAATCTGCTTCTCAGAGTTCTTGGCAGAAAACTCTAACTCACATTAAGAGGCTATTATTTTGCTTCTTGTTTTCCTTAAATGACACATAATCACTTATATTGAAGGTGTACATTAGTGTCTCAGTTAATCTCGCGGAACGCACGTAATAGCCTTCAATAATGCGGGTAACACATTGATTCTCCCGGCAGTCTGCAACCTAGTTATATTGCCGCACTTTAACTCACATGTTCTAATAACAAATGGATTCCTCCCTCTAAATTGCATAATTGTGTGATCCCCTAAGTTTACGGTGCGCTCCATTTGTGGGGCAAGAGAACATGGCAAACGAATTTTTCGTATGCCAGCTTAACTTTGTTTCTGACTATAATCCATGTTGAAGGTATGGTTGATACCCATATAATTAATTAATTAATTCGTCTAGTACACATAAAAAAATTGTTTCGTAGCCGATTACACATTTCCATTAACCAAACCAATTCAGCTTCTCAAAGCAGTCCACTAGCGCATTATGTTAGTTTGTTAAACTTATATTTCTCTTTTTGTAATGTCATCTCTAAGTATGGGTTTCGAAGAAGTCGAAGTAACTAAAATATCGTACTAAGAGATACTCCTGGTGTAAACAGACACCTGATATAAACAGAGAGAATAAGGTTCGCGGACTCAGAATGGATGAGTTGCGTCAGACCGTAGTCCGTCATCGAGATAACTGCAACTTGCCTTGTTCATTCAAATACCTGACGACCAGGTGCAGATTTACGTTGTAAATAGGTTGGGTTGTGTGAGGTTGGTGGTTACGTGTACATGGGTGAAAGTTGGGGAAGTAGTTCAAGTATTTTTAAACTATGAAATAATGGTGTTGTCCAGCTAAGGCGTAAGAAGGGAACTTGAGTCAATAGATGAATTTGATAGAATAGTCCGTTAATTAAAGCGCTGCATGCACTTCTAAATGCCATTATTTAAGTGGCACGACTGGGGCAGATTGCGCGTAAAAATAATCCATTAATTTAAAGTGAGTAATGGATAATTAAAAAAAGGGGAAATCCTGCCCCATGTCACTTTTTTGTTCACTGTTATTTTGGCTAAGAATAGACTTTAATCTTTCCCATAGCTCACTCGTGTCCAAGTTTGGTAGGGATGCTAACTGTGACCCTAGATATCCTCAACGAGACGGCAGTACCGATTTACTAAAAAGAATCGCTTTACTCTAAGTCATCAGAGAATATGCACCACTCATTCTCTGATGACACGCTCGTACTCTACCGCAGTAAAGCAGGCGGCCTGCACCTCACATTCTCTGATGACACGCTCGTACTCTACTGCAGTAAAGCAGGCGGCCTGCACCTCACATTCTCTGATGACACGCTCGTACTCTATCGCAGTAAAGCAGGCGGCCTGCACCTCACATTCTCTGATGACACGCTCGTACTCTACCGCAGTGAAGCAGGCAACCTGCACCTCACATTCTCTGATGACACGCTCGTACTCTACCGCAGTGAAGCAGGCAACCTGCACCTCACATTCTCTGATGACACGCTCGTACTCTACCGCAGTAAAGCAGGCGGCCTGCACCTCACATTCTCTGATGACGCACTCTAACTCACCTGCAGTGGGGCAGGCAACCTGCACCTTGCATTCTCTGATGACACGCTCGTACTCTACTGCAGTAAAGCAGGCGGCCTGCACCTCACATTCTCTAATGACGCACTCTAACTCACCTGCGGTGGGGCAGGCAACCTGCACCTCAGTGTGCCGGATGCCGAGGTTGTACTCAGGGTCCGCTGAACCGTTCGTGGTATCGACGAGAAGCCGTACAGCGTACCGCCCACAGGGGATGACGTTTATGACAAGCCCTGCGAGATAATGAATACAAAATGCATTGACCGTGAGAGCAAAATTGTGTTGTAATTCCTTTCGTTTTCTCTGTTTCATTTGGTGTTGATAACAAAACACAATCTTCAACACAAATCTATCAAACCATGCACAGTCCTATATAATATAAATTTAGGGATTGTCATGCTTTTCTCCTTAATTACCCTGAAAATACGAGGAAACATTACTTACAGAAAATATTAAAATTTTCCACAGAATTACATATTGCATTGGCTAACTAATGAAAGCAAAACCTATAATAAATACTTTTCATTGCAAACTCTCATGCAGACAAGTTTTGACCTAGATTTAAATAGAGAAAACTTACGCAGTACCCATATGTTACATGTTATGTTAACTTATTCTCGTAGATTGTAAAAACATTTCAAAATATTGGAACAAAAGCCGAAGTCAAAAATCTCAAGGGGGAATGACAGTCGGAATTAATTCACCATCCTTTTTCTTCAATTTAACATGTGGCGAATAAGAAATAACTTATAGTTATTGATTGAGGTACGAGTTCAGTATCAATCTTTTCCTGAATCCCGAAGAATTTTCCAAATATTTTCACAGGCAGTATTCAAGAACCAAGTTATGAATAAAATTTACCTAGATTTTATAATCTTGTGCCACTTTCTCCAACGTTTTTTTCTGTTAATTTATATTAAACCGTCTAGCGTCAAAATGGACTTAAACAGCAAACACCACTGGTAAGTGAACATGCACGGGATATGCCTATATAACAATGATTCGAATTACATCTGTAATTGTGGCGATAACTATCAACGATTTAAAACGGTTGCCAGATGACATCCACCTATGTAAAAATGTAGGCCGATGTGGAAAGTTGAGTTAAATAGGTTTTAATTCATTTTTAAATCGAGTTCACCGTGTTCCAGTCGGATCAAGTTTAGCGCGCGAGCTGGAGATCCCGGTTCCGCTCCCGGCTGAGGTTCTTTCAGCGTAGGTTTGAAGGAATGTGAATAGCATAGTATATACCTATCTAATGTAGCGCATTGTAATACGATGCTCAAATAATGTGATTTTCGTGATAAAATATATTTAATAAAGTTCATCAATTTTCACTATATCTGCGTTCCTTTTCACTAATAAAATTTAGAGGCTTGGGCGACCCTGCATTGCGGCCGCCTAGGACTCGAGGAGCATATTAATCAGCTTCTCTATGCCCACTTCAGCTCTGAGTTCTAAGGGCAGCCTCTGGACCGCTTGCTAACTCGGCTCGGTTAACCCTTTTAAGACTCTCAATAGACTGTAAGGGTACGCACACAGTGAAAGCAGGTTGCCAGCGTGCTGGTTACCTGCTCAGGCTGGCACCTGAAACCATAGAATACAGAAGCCTATTCGTACAGGTTTTCACTGTGAACACTTACATTATTATCCTATGTTCATTCTTGTGGCAGGTGGGAGCAGGTTGCCCGCGCGGGCAAACCTGCTTTCACTGAGTGCGTACCCTAAAGTCGGAAAGGAGATTCTGACGAGAAACATATTTCGATCGGATGACCAAGCAGTCTCATATTAACTTTGCGCCGAGTGTATAGTGACCATTCGGCCGAAGCCTAGGCGGTCCCCGAATTTTGTTAAGGTGAGGACGTTTATCCAATTGCAGAACGTACCTATGGTCTACACGATTTCAACGAAATAATTTAAACGTTGAAACAACGTTGGACTAGTAACATCATTTCAACGATGGAATATAAAGTCAGCACGACGCTGCACGAATGACGTTGCTTCAATTCTCATTCTAGACTATATTATTATATGATTCCAACGTCGTAAACGTAAGTTGTTTCAAAGTTGATTCAACCAGAAAAAGCCTGCTGGAAGGAGGCAGAAAGTGACAGTAGCCCTAGAGGCCAAAGAAGTGACAGTGATCTTTCCTAGAATGTTTATCTGCCAGTTACTGGCGACCAAACATTGGAAGTTGGTGGTGCTGTTAATAGCAGAACACTTTTAAGATACACTTTTAATAGCAGAACACTTTTAAGATTTTTGATAAACTTGCTATTTAAGCAGTCAAGTGATTTTAATACTTATATACGATCAAAATACGGTGAAGATGGATGCCAGTGTTTTAGAAAGTACTGTGATCTTCACCGAAAGTCGGCCAAGACTTCTTTAGACATGCCCGTGTTTGCTTCATTCTTGTTTGTTTCTCATTTGACGATTTATGCATCAATGTGAATTTATTGCTAATCATTTGTACCTGTTTTTTAGGTTTTGAACTGATGATGGAGCTGGTCTCCGAAACGTTTTCCTTTTTAAGAAATGGTGAATTTTCTGGCTATTTTCTTTGCTTTTAAATTTTTGATAAACTTGCGATTTAAGCAGTCAAGTGATTTTAATACTTTTAAGAAATGGCTGACGGTAAATAATCAAGAAAGATTCTCCAGTTGCAGAGTAATAAAAGCATCGCTAACTAATAAGTTAAAATGAGCAAAAATGGCTGATGGTAATATGAATGTTTCAAATTTCGCTACTTATTTATTTTGACACATTTCATGGCAAATAACAAAACTTTGATGATCCTGAGGCACTCTAGACATCATCTGAGAGGCCCGATTTTTTAGCAAATTTCATAACATGTCAAAAAGGGGTGAATTAAATTTTAAGAGAAAATTTTTTGAGGGGATACTTAAGTCGATGATTGTTAGTCTATTTTAAGGCAGGCCGTATTATTCATTGGCAATATTTTCTGATTTGTTTGAACTGGATTTTTTGTGGCTTAAGAGTTTATGAAGGAATTTTATCATAATTGCTGCTGAGTTAAATCAAATGATTCACCATGACTAAGAAGCACGTTTCCACTGTGACCCACCTGTTAGCTGCGTCTCCCATGCAGCCGTTGAGCTACTCAAGTTCTTTACCTGCAGCCGATACCTGGTGGCAGTAACATGAGGTCAAAGATTGTTCGTGCTTGGGACATTACATAAACTAAATTTCTTAGTTACTTTGTGGCTGCAAACATAGTAAGTCTAATACCTAGTAGGTCCAACTTAACAATCATTGATTTGACAATCAATAACTCTCTTCTCATGTGATGTTTATTACACTTGCAAAGAGGATACGCGAAAGAAAAACAGCTGCACCAGGCTATCCAAGGTCTCTACCGAACTTTGTAGCAATTTCGATTTCTTAACACTCTGCCGCCTGGCACGGGTAACCGGAGCACTATTGTCACAAGCCTACTTTCCAGGATGGATACGTTCTATAGTGAGCGCAAAATGACTTGCACTGATGGCAGTGTTGCCGCCACGAATGACAGCTTTAAAATGTTCTCTGTTGCGTACAAATGTCCTCAGTTTGCTACACTCAATAGTTAACGTATAATTTAAGATGAAAGTTACATTCTTGGAGAGTGACATACGGCGGTGGAGGGTTAAAATACATATTAAGTGTTGAATTCTCATTTGTTAGATCTGATACCTACCCTGTAACATTAGTGCCCGAGTCCAGAAAGCCCTCGTCCGCGCTGGGGGACCAGGCTTTTGGCACAACTGTGCACGTGAGGCCGTCGCAGGACACGGATGGCGCAGCCCGGAAACGCGGTAAGTTGCGAGGACGAGGGAAGAGCTCTAGGGGGTTAATATGCCGATAAGTGTACATTAAATCCAGCAAATGATCGTTTTTATAATTAATACAATCATTTTACAGCGAAAAACGTGCACGTTACATCGATATTCTGGGTGCTTGCACATGCATATATACGAGTACATCCTGAGTACATGCCATAGTCATAGTTGATATCTGAAACAGCACGAGGTAGAGACGCTCCATCGCCATAGCCAACAGAGGATGGGAGTTTGCTAGGCGTGATCCTAGTACTCGACGTGCTCCCAGTTCTAGACGCACAACCAGCATCAGACAATAGACAGGCTCCCAGCTTTAAGGTGCTACTAAACGATTAAGCATCTTAATCAACCGTTCGCTCTTGAGCCATTGCTCCTCAGACAGCTGGAGTCCATCACGATTCAAAATTGTTCAGCAATCGCGAAGGCATTAATGAAAATATTCCCGTTAGAATTCAACAAATTCCCACTCAGGGTTATCGGGAAGTTCATATTCCAATGTTGGCTGAATTTTAATCGATATGCTATTGATATTTACTCGTAATATTCAATCTTCGAAATATTCTTCGTTATTGCACGATGAATGATAGCACTTAAAATTATCAAACTTACTTGAAATTCATGTCAAAACAATGTTATAAAACTATCGTAAATCAATGTAAATTGACTCAAATCAAATATCAAATTGTAAATATTTGCAGTCACAACAAGGCAACAACAACAGGCCATGCACAATATGAAAACAATAACCAATAAATTTGCTAAGCGATGCATGCACGTTAAGCAGTCCCTTGCCTAGACGCTCAAAATTGTGGTTAATAATTGAGTGTCTAAGTGGCGTATTGAGCGTTTGCGCAATATATTGCGCGGTATTCAGAATATCGAAGACTGATAGATATTGTGACGTTTAAGGGCTACATTCACTCAGTACATCCAAAGCGGTCGTTCAAGGTAGTTGTGGCAATCTCGTGTCCTCATCGTGGCTGGCGAAGTGAACTTTTGGACTTTATTGAGCTTTACAGTATAGTGGTCTCTAGGCCTTATTTGATTTCAAAGCGTATATAATACTAATCTTTCGAAAAAGGAGAGCAGTACGTGATACTGATTGAAAAGTAATCTCAGTTCATTTACCATTTAATAACTTTGTGTTACGTTGTCACAGCGCTTGTTGCAAGAGTTGCTCCGACCTCGCGGTCGAATGTGTTAGCCGTATAAGTCGTTTGCTCTGTAATGTACAGTAAAGTCTAAAATAGTCTAATTTACTTATCCCTCACATAGTCATCGAATGCCTGTCTTCAGGTAAAACCTATATGCAGGGCATTTCACGGAAGCTTCCTGATTAGATAGCTCAATAAAAAAGAACATGTTAAGATATATTAATGTAAAATTTTTGAAAAATTCAGAACCTGAATTTTTGTATCACTTAGTTTTAAAGATAACGTAGGACAAATGACGTCCCCCATTGTCAATGCATTCAATAAGTCGAAGCTTGAAGTTCCGTTCAACTCGCTGAAGCATATTGACGATCATGTTGCCAATGGCTTGGCGTATGTTGTTCTTCAAATGAAGTAGGGTTCTTGGACATTCATTGTAAACAATTGGTCTAAGACAGAGGAGGCGCTGTGTCTCAGAACAGTGTGGAGAACGCAAATCTCTAACTTTCTCTACGTTCTCAGGTGCTGCGGCAGTCCCAGGACCTCCAGACACTCTTGCATTCACACCTCCACTTGCCCTAAATGTCTTCACTCACGTAGCAATCGATTTCTGATCAGGAAACCCGACCTGAAGGACGAATACAGAACCGAGTACAGTATGCTCGTCGAGTAGCGATAATGGAACGGCCATTAGTGAAGTGCCCTTCGACAGCAAACGCACGCTGCTCACTTGTCAAATGCAAAAAGGCAACTGACTAGGCGGGACACAGAATTTCATGACCTTGTCTTTCCTATAAAACACTCGCCGCTCTATTCCCACAACATCTGGCAGCTGGATCCGTGGATCACCCTGACAATACACACTGGAAGTTCACACTATTATTTCCGTACAGTGGCACCTTATTATTGCCTCCCGACGAAGTGCCGCCCGAACATACTACTTTCCCTCCTGAAAATATTGTTGTACGTCTGGAGGCGTGATTGTGCAATATATTGAACTGAAAAGTAATTTTTTCGGAATATACTGAACAATTTCTAAGTAATACTACTACGCCCTCAATATTATTGCACAAATAAAAATATTGCGCAATAATATTGAGCGTCTTGAGTCTACTTTACTCAGGTTGGCGCGTATCGCAAATACAAACCGTGAGTGCAGAGCGCAGGGTCGCGGCAGCCGATGAGGCAGCGGCCGTCATCACGAGAACAGTTGCGATCCACGCAGTAGTTGCAGCGCAGGGCGCAACTTGGCCCGTACCACCCGTCCGGACACACTGCGTGAGGGCCCAACTAGTGATTACCTCAGCGACTTGTGCTGGGATAAGGATACAGCTAGAGCGAGTCTGCATGAAACATTATGAATGTTCTATCAAGCATAAATGTTGTTTAATAATTTATTTAATAAATATTATTTATGTCTGCATGAAACATTGGCAATAGCGAGTCTGCATGAAACATTACTTGTGTCCATGATTGACTTAAATGCGTGTGATTCATTAGAGTGAATAAAATATCGTAATTTCATTAGGATAATAGCGGAGAAAAGTCCTAACTTCTATAAATAAAGTGAACACAAAGAGGACTTAGACGTGAATTAATCGATGTAGACGCTATAGTGTAAAGTACATTTGCGTGAGTATGGAACTTGCACTTGTAGAAATAACAGGTTGCGACAGTATTAGAAATAAGACGGACATATCAGCAGTAAGTTATAGATTAAAATGTTTCAAATTATATGAATATCATATGAGCTATTTAATTAGTTACCCCGATCATTGACAAAGAAATAAGGTGACTGGTGAGGTAACGATGAAAGAAAAAGTAAATTGAAAACTAGTTTGGGTGGTTTTCAAATTGTTTGAAAAATTTGTAAATGAAAAAATATTTCGTATTGCTGATAATAAATAATAATGAATATAAGTATTGGAAGACCCTACAGGACCATGCTAATATCCTTTGATTGAAATTATAATCAAATGAGTTGATTATACATTGTTTTAATTCCAATGAACATGGACGCGATCAAGGAAGCGTACAAATGCATTTTATTGTTCTTTGAGTAATTTATTGTTCTCTATGTAAAATTGTTATTGAAATGCATTAAAATCGGTGCTGCACGATACGGTTTTCCTGCATGAATATGCGAAGGTTTATCATAAAACCCGATTTTCTGCCACCGCTGGGGATTGAATCCACTCTCAGAAGCAGCATTTGATGTTTAACAGGCGTAGGGCTACTTGCATTCATCTGCTTTTTTACAACATTTCTCTTCACTTCTTGTTGTTTGTCTGCTACAAAACAATAACAATAAATATTTAACGATATTCGCAACGGGCTGAAGCGTTACGCTAGAACCACGGGTGCAACGATTTCTGCCCTTAATTTTTCAAAGTACTTTTTAGGTGCCACTACTTTTTAGGTTCCACTAACATACGCCGCGATAATTTTACCATGCTTTAATATAGATTGTTTTCTATCAAATGCAGTCTTTAAACGCACAATTGTGAACTCGAATCTATTTTTAAAATTACGAGAACGGAAGGACCGAAATTCTGGTCAGAATACGTGAACGACAACTGCGGCCGATCGATATTCTGGTGGTGATTCTTACCGACGGTGAGACTGATTTTAATCATCAACAATGATGATAAAGTCGACATCATCATCTTCATCGCTGCTTACTACAGCGTACAGCGATACTGTACGCTGCTTTTTTCTCTCATCGTCAGTCAGTTTGTTGCTCGCCATCGCATAAACTTGCAAGAGAGGGAGCGAAGACACTGAACCTCTCACCTCCGTAGCTCGTGGAACACTGCCAAGCACCTCTGACCTCCGGAGATCGCTGCCGGCAAGCGTCGGTGTGCGGAAATGTTTATACGTTGCTTGCTAAATGACTTACCTTATTTTTATAGATCAAAAAAGCTGAAATATTATTGATTCAACACCAAGAATAAGTCTCAGTTGAAGAGTATCTCGACAGACAAGGCCGTCAGATTTGTGGTTATTTTTTTACAGCGGGTAGAAGAAAATAAGGGCGTTTTCCAGTCAACCCGTTGCGAATAGGGTTAACACACTTCTAGCTGTCGAATCGATCTGAAATTTTGCACACTTGCTTAAAGTCTGAGACAATGCTTGAATCGATTGACAGAATAAATAATTTAAATAATTTAAATTTTTTTAACGTTCGGTACGAATGTTCAAAATCATTCTTTTTAATATTACAAAATGAAATATGAAATTCATTGTATATGTGCAACATCAGGGACACTGGCCTCTTTAGAAGTGTTGTCTTTAAAAAGTGTTAATTTTTAAACACATATTATTATTTTTAATATTACCTATGTTGCAGTAGGTATCTATGTTGCATTATCTTTTTAATATTACCTATGTTGCAGTAAGTATCTATGTTGCAGTATCTTTTTAATATTACCTATGTTGCAGTAAGGTCTCATGAATCCAGGAAGACAGGAGCAGCCTTGCAGGTCGTGGGTGCAGACGGTCAGCCCGTCGCATATGGGAAGGTCAGCTCGTTCCCTACCCCGGAGCTCAGCAGAGCAGTTCTTACTGCAGTCGTCACCGTAGCGGCCCCTGCCGCAGTCTGTAACAAGGACTTGCACTAAACCAGCATCCAGGGCTGGATCCTCTCAACGCTTCCGAAGATCCAATGCCTCACAAAACTGCAAGCTAGGGTTTACAAATAAATTTATAAAACGAGATACTTAATGCCGAGAATGTTGAATAAAGATTGTGTATTCCAATAAATGAGTTTCTCCTCACTCCCTCATATCAACTGTCAAATGCTGAATTCTTCGTGAAAGCGTCGCACTGCTAACTGAAGTCCGCAATGGCTCGCACAATGGCAGCGCTGAAAATTCCGTTACATTGATCTCCTTCAATGATCTCTCAAGGAGATAACTTTCAAATATCAAACAATTAAATGACGCGCTTGGTTACGATACTCACAGTCCTGGCAACGGTTGCCATGGGTGCCAGGGGCACAGACACAGCCTCCGGAGCGAGGGTGACATTCGCCTGTGTTGAGGCAGTCCGGGCACCACTGAGCACAGCCAATACCATAGCGATGTTTGGGACAACCTTCAAGTAAAGGATATATTTATAAGAACGGTGACGAGTCTCGCCCCATGACAGCTGTAAAATTTCATTTATTTACATCTTTTTGGGGATTGTTGAGTAATTTGGGGGTAGATATTTTGGTAGCCCAATAACTCTAAATTTTCGAGTGCAGCGCGTTTTCGCATCTAGATTACCATCCTTAGCTCTTATTCCGAGTCGAAATCGATTTTCACCATGGCAAAAATTTAATGTTAAAACGACAATAATTAATTCGATGGTCAACTTTTGGGAAACTTGAAAATTTGAATGAAATAAAAAAAAGTAATTAGTGTAAATCCGTTTTGTAGCATTGACAACTGAATACTAATTTACGTGAAGTTGGCTGGCGTGCTGGTGCTTTTGATGGCTGGCGACAACGACATCAGTAGTCAGCAATAGTTGATGTAGCAATGACTGTTACTTGTCATGAAATGTGTTAGTTTTGACCAGTGCTTTTTTTGACTGGTGCTAGTGATGACAGGTGGCAATGATGATTGACGCCAGTGCTAACTAGTGGCAGTGTTGACTGTTGGTGCTGGTGATTGCTGTTGCTACAGAAGCTTTGTGGAAGTTATAACAGACACTAGTGAGTGAGTAGTGACTGCAGGCGCTAGATACGCCTTTCACTATTTCGACCGGTACTAGTGGGGTCGTATAACAATAATGTCTGGCGTTAGTGATGACTGGAGCTAAAAAAACAACCGGTCATAATGAAGTCTGGTGCCAGTCTGGTGCCAGTGGCTGATATAAGAGCTGATTGATGCTAGAGACAGTTGCTAGAGAGGTCTGTAAAAGGTGGAGATCAGTGCTAGTGATGGAGGATGATACTTCGGACGCTGCTGGTGGTAGCGTTGGTTAATGATATCGATGACTGGTGCTAGTGATGGCCAGACTTAGAGATGGCAAACGTTAGTGATGGATGGAGCACGTGATGACTATTGTATAGAAGCAAAACACCCTACGTGGCCGACTTGCTCCTGATTCACCCCTAAGCCGAATATAGTTCCTCTAAAACGACCTTAATCGGCACGAAAATTTTGACAGGGTGCTCCTGATTCACCCCTAAGCCGAATATAGTTCCTCTAAAACGACCTTAATCGGCACGAAAATTTTGACAGGGCAGGCCTTATAAACGCTGAAACCGCTATTATTATTATTATAAAGCATCACTGACCGCTGTCTGGCTCTAGTCTATAGAAGAGTTCAGCAATCGACTGATGTGGAACGAACCAACGTAACTCAAAGTATTAACACTCAAAGAATAGGAGAACAAACATGAGCAACTCAATTGAATAACACACGATACCATGTCATTGGTACAAAAATCACAGCCAACAACAAAAATTAGTATAAACCAACAATAATAATTTGAATAAATTTAGCTTATGAGCAATGTCTTCCACTCAAGATGGCGTCTAGATATTAACTCGACCGATGACTGTGGCGCCATCCACCGCTGAAGTCCAACAAACCACGGTAAATAACCTGAATGACCGGATTACGGTTAATGAACTTCGAAAACAAACGTGTACTGCACATTTTTCGCCCGTTTTTTCTAACAGTATAGATATTGTGACGTTTAGGGGCTACATTCACTCAGTACATCCAAAGCGGTCGTTCAAGAAAGTTGTGGCAATCTCGTGTCCTCATCGTGGCTGGCGAAATGAACTTTTGGACTTTATTGAGCTTTATAGTGGTCTCTAGGCCTTATTTGATTTCAAAGCATATCTAATACTAATCTTTCGAAAAAGGGGATTAGTACGTGATACTGATTGAAAAGTAATCTCAGTTCATTTACCATTTAATAACTTTGTGTTACGTTGTCACAGCGCTTGTTGCAAGAGTTGCTCCGACCTCGCGGTCGAATGTGTTAGCCGTATAACAAAACAGTCTTTTGCTCTGTAATGTACAGTAAAGTCTAAAATAGTCTAATTTACTTATCCCTCACATAGTCATCGAATGCCTGTCTTCAGGTAAAACCTATATGCAGGGTATTTCAAGGAAACTTCCCGATTAGATAGCTCAATAAAAAAAGAACAAGTAAAGATATAACAATATTAAAATTTTGAAAAAATCCTAACCAGAATTTTTGTATTACATAGTTTTAAAGATAACATGGACTAATGACGTCCCCATTGTCAATGCATTAAATTAGTCGAAGCTTGAAGTTCCGTTCAACTCGCTGAAGCATATTGACGGGCATGTTGCCAATGGCTTGTCGTATGTTGTTCTTCAAATGAGGTACGGTTCTTGGAAATTCATTGTAAACAATTGATCTAAGACTGAGGAGGCGCTGTGTCTCAGAACGGTGTGAACGCAAAACTCTAACTTTCTCTACGTTTTCAGGTGCTGTGGCAGTCCCTACTTGCAAATGCAAAAAGGCAACTGACTAGGCAGGACACAGAATTTCATGGCCTTATCTTTCCTATAAAACACTCGCGGCTCTATTCCCACAACATCTGGCTGCCTGGCGCTAAAACAAAACAGGAAGACCCCGCGCAACACCCTGACAATATACACTGGAAGTTCATCTATTATCCCCCTACAGTGGCACCTTAACATAACATAACATAATGATGTCGGCGCTGAAATGTAGGCCTGATGTGGCCTGTCGCCGATTCTTTTCCTTTTCGTGCCTTGTTCATATACATATCTAAACTCGTATCATTTGATCGGATCTTTTCATGACTGGCGATAGTTTGAAGTAGCTACTAGACTTCCACCGGGTTCGATAAGGAGCTAGGCATTTCAAATCTGAATATATATTTAATTAAGGTTGGTCATATTTTTTCACTATTTCAACGTTTCTTTTCCATAATAAAAGTTAGACTTGAGCGACCCTGCATTAGGGCCGCTTAGGACTCTGGGAGCATGTAAATCAGCTTCTCTATGCCCACTTCAGCTCTGAGTTCGAAGGGCAGCTTCTGGACCGCTTGCTAACTCGGTATGACTCGGCTAGGTTAACCATTGTAAGACTCTCAAGGGACTGTAAAGTCGGAAAGGAGATTCTGACGAGAAACATATTTCGATCGGATGGCCAAGCAGACCCATATTAACTTTGCGCCGAGTTTATAGTGACTATTCGGCCGAAGCCTAGGCGGTCCCCCGAATTTTGTTGGGGTGAAGACGTTTATCCAATTGCAGAACATACCTTTTGTCTACACGATTTCAACGAAATAATTTAAACGTCGAAACAACGTTGGACTAGTCACATCATTGCAACGATGAAATGTAAAATCAGCACGACGCTGCACGAATGACGTTGCTTCAGTTCTCATTCTTGACTAGTATTCAAAATGATTCCAACGTCGTAAATGGAAGTTGTTTCAAAGTTGATTCAACCAGAAAAAACCTGCTGGGAAGGCAAAAAGTGACAGTAGCCCTAGAGGCCTAGTAAGTGACTAATCTTTCCGAGAATGTTCTCCAGTTACAGAGTATCTAATAAAAGCATCGCTAAATAATAAGTTAAAATGAACAAAAATGGCTGATGGCAATATGAATGTCTCAAATTTTGCTGCTTATTTATTTGGACACATTTCATCAGGCAAATAATAATACTATGATGAACCTCAGGCACCCTATATATCATCTGAGAGGCGCGATTTTCAAGTCAGGTAGTATTTTTTATTGCCAATTTTCTCTGATTTGATTGAACTGGATTTTTGTGGCTCAAGAGTTTATGATGGAATTTTATCATAATTGCTGCTGAGTTAAATCAACTGATTAACCACGACTAAGAAGCACGTTGACACAGTGACCCACCTGTTAGCTGCGTCTCCCATGCAGCCGTTGAGCTACTCAAGTTCTTTACCTGCAGCCGATACCTGGTGGCAGTAACATGAGGTCAAAGATTGTTCGTGCTTGGGACATTACATAAACTAAATTTCTTAGTTACTTTGTGGCTGCAAACATAGTAAGTCTAATACCTAGAAGGTCCAACTAAACATGCATTGATTTGGAATTCAAAAACCCTCTTATCACGTGATGTTTATTACGATTGCAAAGAGGATACGTCAAAGAAAAACAGCTGCACCAGGCTATCCAAGGTCTCTACAGAACTTTGTAGCAATTTCGATTTCTTAACCCTCTACCGCCTGGCATGGGTAACCGGAGCAATATTGTCACAAGCCTACTTTCCAGGATTGATACGTTCTATAGTGAGCGCAAAATGACTTGCACTGATGGTTGCTGCCACATACGATAGCTTTAAAATGTTCTCTGTTGCGTACAAACGTCCTCAGGTTGCTACACTCAATAGTTTACGTATAATTTAAGTTGAAAGTTACTTTTAAATGTTCTCTGTTGCGTACAAACGTCCTCAGGTTGCTACACTCAATAGTTAACGTATAATTTAAGATGAAAGTTACGTTCCCGGAGAGTGTCATACGGCGGTGGAGGGTTAAAATACATATTAAGTGTTGAATTCTCATTTATTAGATTTGATACCTACCCTGTAACATTAGTGCCCGAGTCCAGAAAGCCTTCGTCCGCGCTGGGGGACCAGGCTTTTGGCGCAACTGTGCACGTGAGGCCGTCGCAGGACACGGATGGCGCAGCCCGGAAACGCGGTAAGTTGCGAGGACGAGGGAAGAGCTCTAGGGGGTTAATATGCCGATAAATGTACATTATATTCAGCTAATGATCGTTTTTATAATTAATATAATCATTTTACAGCGAAAAACGTGCACGTTACATCGATATTCTGGGTGCTGGTACATATAAATATACGAGTATACATCCTGAGTACATGCCATAGTCATAGTTGATATCTGAAACAGCGCGAGGTAGAGACGCTCCATCGCCATGGCCAACAGAGGATGATTCCCACTCAGGGTTATCGGGATGTTCCCATTCCGCTGTTAGGCTGAATTTTAATCGATATACTATTGATATTTAATATTCAATCCTCGAAATATTCATTATTGCACGTTGAATGATAGCACTTAAAATTATCAAACTTACTTTAAATTCATATTAAAACAATTTTATAAAAGTATCGTAAATCAATGTAAATTAACACAAATCTAATTTCAAATTGCAAATATTTGCAGTCACAACGAGGCAACAACAACAGGCCATGCACAATATGAAAATAATAACCATTAAATTTGCTAAGCGATGCATGCACGTTAAGCAGTCCCTTGCCTAGACGCTCAATATTGTGGTTAATAATTGAGTGTCTTTGTGGCATCTTGAGCGTTTGCGCAATATGTTGCGTGATATTCAGAATATCGAAAACTGATATCACTGTTAGAAAATCGACCGTAAAAAACGTTCCCACCGGCGTTACAGTGGCCGGTTATTTACCGTTAAATTAAACGACGGGAACGGTTTCCCGCACGAAAACGGTACGCCCGTTTTGTACTTTACGGCTTCCTACAGTTTCTTTCATACAGACTATTGTAATCCGACATAGCCACACATAAGAGGACATAGCGAGACATAAGGAGACATAGCGAGACATAGCAAGACATAAGGAGACATATGGAGACATAAGGAGAAATAGCGAAACATTAGGAGACATAGCAAGACATAAGGAGACATAGCAAGACATAGCGAGACATAAGGAGTCATATGGAGACTTAGCGAGACATAAGGAGACATATCGAAACATGAGGAGACATAAGGAGACATAGAGAAACATATGGAGCCATAGCAAGACATAAGGAGACATGGCGAAACATATGGAGCCATAGCGAGACATAAGGAGACAGCAAGACACAAGGAGACATGGCGAGTTATAAGAGGACAGCGAGACATAAAGAGACATGACGAGACATAAGACATGGCGAAACTTAGAGAGACATAGCGAGGCATGATGAATAATAACGCGAGGAATTAGTTCATATCTTTATTGGTTCAACTGAAATATTTTTCGGAAGCTACATCGCAGACTGTATATGCATACAGGAGAAAATTCCACGGATATACTGTATAGATGCATCTTCATTAATAAAAATAAAGAAACTGCAGTTTGATGCATCGTGAATATATTGATAAGGAGAATATTACTGTTGCATTACTACTCCTAACAAATGAAATCAGTAGAAATTAGTTACCACTCCAGTAAGAAATTTACATTATTGGCAAATTAAAACTATAGTGAATTTAATACAATTTTTCATCCGAATCCAAATGGCGTACGGGTGCCGATAACAGGTCCTCATTCCCGATATCAGAGATTAGACCAAATCAACGCAAGTGAGACGTAATATACTAAAGCGGTCAGGGACCTTAACATTGAAATAAAAAGCACTATAAAATAACAGTCGACGTATGCAAAAGATTGTGAAAATCACTAGGGAGCCGTCTCAGAGAAAATCTAGTTACATGGGAACGTCCATTGTAAGGAGAGGCAGTCGAAGAAGTGCTCAGTGGAGTGGAATGGTTCCCCCACACTCGAGACAAGCCGCGCTTGCGAAGGGCCCCACCCTGAATATGAAGAACCCAAGGTGCCTACAAAAGCACGAACGGTGCTGATCCAGCTCGGAGTGGTAGGGGCGCCGGAGTATTGCTTTCTCGGGGGCCTACCAATACTGGTAGGCCCAATAAAAAAATGACCAAAGTGGGACAGCAGGGCCATCTTCACGAGTCTACACTGGAGGGGCATGTTTTCCTGCATGAATATGCGAAGGTTTATCATAAAACCCGATTTTCTGCCACCGCTGGGGATTGAATCCACTCTCAGAAGCAGCATTTGATGTTTAACAGGCGTAAGGCTACTTGCATTCATCTGCTTTTTTACAACACTTCTCTATAACTTCACTTCTTGTTTGTCTGTTTGTTTGTCTCTCTACTACAAATCTTGTAATTGAAATTTAACACACTTCTACTTATCCTTTCGATCTGAAATTTTGCACACGTGCGTAAAGTTGGAGACAATGCATCAATCAAATGACAAAATAAATAATTTAAGAATAAACTTTTTTTCAATAGTAAAAAAACTGAAAAAATAATTTTGTCAGCTACAAATCTTATAATTGATATTTGACACACTTTTACCTGTCCAATTGATATGAAATTTTTAACACTTGTGTGAAGTTGGAGGCAATGCATGAATCAATTGACAATAAATAATTTTGAAAAAAAAAATTGTATTAAAATATTTTAAAAATAAATTTTTTTAATATTCGAAAATAAAATTAGAAATTCATTGTACATCTATAACATTGGAAAGACTGGTTTCTTTAGAAGTGTTGTATTTAACACTTTGACTCCGATTGCTCCAACTTGTACTATTATTTCACTTTTTGTACTGTTTTTAAACTGGGTTGCCAGACGGTCATTTTTTTCCGGACAAACTCCGTGATTTAGTTTTTCTCAATTGTGTTGGCCGTCTAAAATTTATGATGGGGTTACTTCCTAATTAAATTTTAAATACTGCAAAAAGAAAATAAATTGAATTTTTATAGCGGAACCTACAAATAAACTAGTATATATTGAGTTATCGGCCTTTTTTGGCCTTTTTTGTTTTCGGGTTTGGCCGATTTTAGGCAACCTGAATTATGTGCCAATACGTCCTGGAGAAATACATTTCGTGGTACGCATATGTACCACTTTGGAGTCAACGTGTTAAAAAGTAATTTTTAAAGGTATATTATATTAATTATAACATTTTTCTCTTTAACTTCACTTCTTGTTGTTTGTCTGCTACAAATCTTATTATCAATATTTAACACACTTCTAGCTGTCAAATCGATCTGAAATTTTGCACACCTGCGTCAATTGACAGAATAAAAAATTTTGATAAGTTAAAAAAACTAATATTAAAAGAATACTCAAAATCATTCTTTTAAGTATTACAAAATGAAATAAGAAATTTATTGTATATGTGTAACATCAGAGACAGTGGCCTCTTTAGAAGTGTTGTCTTTAAGAAGTGGTAATTTTTAAACACATATTATTATATTTAATATTACCTATGTTGCAGTAATTATCTATGTTGCAGTATCTTTTTAATATTACCTATGTTGCAGTAAGGTCTCATGAATCCAGGAAGACAGGAGCAGCCTTGCAGGTCGTGGGTGCAGACGGTCAGCCCGTCGCATATGGGAAGGTCAGCTCGTTCCCTGCCCCGGAGCTCAGCAGAGCAGTTCTTACTGCAGTCGTCACCGTAGCGGCCCCTGCCGCAGTCTGTAACAAGGACTTGCAATAAACCTGCATCCAGGGCTGGTTCCTCTCAACGCTTTCGAAGATCCAATGCCTCACAACACTGCAAGCTAGGGTTTACAAATACATTTATTAAAACGATATACTTAATGCCGAGAATTTTGAATAAAGATTGTGTATTCCAATAAATTAGTTTCTCCTCACTCCCTCATTTAAATTGTCAAATGATGAATTTTTCGTGAATGCGTCGCACTGCTACCTGAAGTCCGCAATGGCTCGCACAATGGCAGCACTGAAAGATCCATTACATTGATCTCCTTCAATCATCTCTCAAGGAGATAACTTTCAAATATCAAACAATTAAATGACGCGCTTGGTTACAATACTTACAGTCCTGGCAACGGTTGCCATGGGTGCCAGGGGCACAGACACAGCCTCCGGAGCGAGGGTGACATTCGCCTGTGTTGAGGCAGTCCGGGCACCACTGAGCACAGCCAATACCATAGCGATGTTTGGGACAACCTTCAAGTAAAGTATATACTTATAAGGACGGTGACGAGCCTCGCCTCATGACAGCTGTAAGATTTCATTTATTTACATATTTTTGGGGTTTGTAGAATAATTTGAGGTAGATATTTCGGTGATCCAATATTTTTTAGGAGCACTAAATTTTCGAGTGCAGCGCGTTTTCGCAGCTAGTTTACCTTCCGTAGCTCATATTTTGAGTCAAAATCGATTTTCACGATGGCAAAATTTAACGTTGAAACGACAATAATAAATTCGATAGTCAACTTTTGGGAAACTTGAAGATTTGAATGAAATAAAGAAAATAATAAATAATTAGTGTGAATCCGTTTTGTAGCATTGGCGACTGAATAATAATTTATATGAAGATCTTCTAGAGTCAGATCAAGCAGAAGAGTTCGACTTGTTGTGAAGAACGGAATTATGAACTGAGGTCGGATAGATCCTGTATAACAATTTTGATTCGAGTTTTGTGACTGCGACCAGTTGGTTGCGAGAAAAGGTTAAAGTTTTGGCTGGTGCTGCTAATGGCTGGCGCCAACGATCAGTAGTCAGCAATAGCTGATGTTAGCAATGACTGTTATTAGTCATGAAATGTGCTAGTTTTGACCAGTGCTTTTTTTGACTGATGCTAGTGATGACAGGTGGCAGTGATTGACGCTATAGTGCTAACTAGTGGCAGTGTTGACTGGTGGTGCTGGTGATTGCTTTTGCTACAGAAGTTATACCAGACACTAGTGACTGCAGGCGCTATACGTCTTTCACTATTTCGACCGGTACTAGTGGGGTCGTATAACAATAATGGCTGGGGTTAGTGATGACTGGTGCTAAAAAACAACCGGTCATAATGAAGTCTGGTGCCAGTGATGACTGGTGCCAGTGGCTGATATAAGAGCTGATCGATGCCAGCGACAGTTGCTAGAGAAGTCCTTAAAGGGGGAGACTATAGTGCTAGTGATGGGTGATGATACTGAGGACGCTGCTGGTGCTAGCGTTGGTTAATGATATCGATGACTGGTGCTAGTGATGGCCAGACTTAGAGATGACAAACGTTAGTGATGGATGGAGCACGTGATGACTATTGGTGGTGATGACAGTTGAATATTCTTTGCAATGGTAGTGATGGGTTGTGCTAGAGCTAATGATGTTTAAAGATAGTGATATTTCATAATAGCAATGCATATTATAAGTGTGGGCTTGTGTTCGTCATCAATCAGTCTCACGGGTTACTCTCGAGTTACCCGCTTGTGAAGCATCACATAACGTTTTCATTCTGGTGGTGAGTCTGTATTCAACAATCTATGGCGGCTAAGGAGACATCAATGTTTATATCTATATCGGTCAAAATACAGTTGAACCCCGCCTTATGAACGTCCTGATCCTGTCTAACAAAAAAAACGTTTTTCGAACCGTCATTTCGGAAAAATGTGCTTCGTTTATATCACCGTGATAACTTACGAACCCGTATATTGCAAAAAAGCCGTGGATCGGCATAACAAGTGTCGATTTCTATTGGTGATAAACATCACCAATATTGATTGATGATTGGAAATCATCAAGAAACACGCGGCTAGCATACGGGTTGTTGACTTGGTCAGGCAGTATGGCCGAAATAAAAGTACGAACTCACTCTCTTAGGTCCGAAATATGCCTATATAATGGCGCCCCAAAAATGAATAAACATTTTTCACCCTATCGAAAATTCGATGTACAAGTACAAGAGGTGACTATTGGAGAATCTCGACACGGATCACAGTCGTTTCCGTTAATTTTAAAATGAAAAAAAGTTCGCTTTACAAACGTACTGCCCTACAAACAAATACTCTTGAAGATATTTGGTACGTAAGGCGAGGTTCCACAGTAAAAAGTTCTGTAGTCTGTAGCCACGAGCTTTCAATTATCACTCACTTCTCACGACGAGTCTGCCATAATACTTGACTGAGTCAGTGGCGTTTTTGACTTCATAGGCATTAAGGGCAGCGTCTTGATGCGTCAGGTTCTTCAAGGCTTTCGTCACTCCACCAGCCTCTGCTGGTGCTGGAAGTTGATACACAGTCACATTTTCAGGGACATTTTCCCTGGTGAATTCCTCGATCACACTCTTAGTCACGGTCAGCACAGTGGGGGTGGGAGTATCTGGGAAATAAATCAACGATGTTAAGACAAAATTCATTGCATTTGTATACTGGGTGTGCATTTCCAATCAGTTTATTATTATATTATATATATTACTTTGGAAAAGATGATTAAAAAAAACAAATTATGTTTTATGGCCACTGAGCCAGATGAAGGGAAAGTATTTAGAAGAGTGGCGCGAACTCAATCGTTTCTAACGGAGGTCCATGCGCAGAAGCAATACGGTGTTCTTCCGAGTCTTATTTAAGTCGAATCAGTATAACAGAGACGCGTGGGGGAACTATAATAGTCCACGTATCCGTTGGTCATGCCCTGACAACTTGGACACTTACTCAGTCAGCATGGACGACGGCCAACAAAGAAATGCAATTTCCTCAACAATATACAGTATCGGAATATTTCACTAATAATCTTTAGGAATGGTGGTAGACGTTCGGATGGAGGAGACTTCACTGTCCGACCGCCAGTTGATGATGGTGGATACGACAACTGAAATTGGAAATCAGCCCAGAACGAAAACAGGAGGGAAAAGCAGGACTCAACTTAATTCCACCACTGAGGAACGGACTGGGATGCAAATATAAATGAACTCGCCCAAATTGATTGGAGGTTTGAGTATTGTGAGAATAACGCTGATGAAATTTTCATAAAACTAAGCAATAAACTAGCGCAGGTGTGTGTACGATTTAACCTGAGGAGAAAAGGATTCTAGATTAGATTTCGAGAATCCATTGAGCGAAACAGGACGACTTCCTCATGAGCAGAATGCACATGATAAAAAACAAATAGCCTAATCTACTTAGATTTAGAGAAACCAGAACGTTGCAAGAGCCCGGAGTTCAACGATTATAGGCAAGCATAAATATAAAATAGTATAGACAAGTAGTGTAGATACAGTTCTACTCGCGTAAATGGAAAAAATTCCGTCTCGTAATAGTAAAAGATCTTAAAAATATCAAATTCAGATGCACAATAAACTCCTTCCTCCCTACGGGAAACTGGTCCCTCAATTTGAGGGACCAGTTATTACTAAAAATCCTGTTGTATAGGATATGTTTTTATAGTCTCAAGAAAGCTGAAGCACGAGTCTCTCTTCCACTTCTCCTCCTACACCTTATTGTTACCCAGAGGACTGTAATGTCGGGTGTGTATCTGTGGGTCTTTACATTTTCTTTTGAACGTTACCTCTGGCCCCTGCATGATGGCGGGAAGACATGCCTATTGACGGCTTGGAAACGGAGGCCGTGCATCAGCGTGGCTTTGAACTAGGAAGTCCTAAACTTGACATAAGGACAATAAATATTTTATTACCGACAGAGAGGTTTCTTGTTAACCTACTACACTAAAACCTATTTCACCTTGTTTTGAGCACGTCCAAGAGGAAAATAGGTCGATGTTGGGATTCATTTATTTTTTGATCCTTGAAACAGTAATGATAAAATGTTTCCAACGGCCAAGGTGTTTGTAAACGTGTTGTCTAACTATGTTAGGAAAATATAGTTTAAATTCCCGTATTAATCCATTGAATGAAACTAACTGCAGAAATTAAAGGTTGCACCACATCGCTTAAACTTCAGGCCTTGATGAGAAACAAAAATACAAAATATGACCATGAATGGGTAATCAAAGCCGTAAATTGTACGTTCCATCTTCTTACACTTCCTGCATTATTTACTCTGTTGTTTAAAAAATATTTCCGCCGGATTAATTAATTCGACGAAAGATTCAAAAGAAAAAGATGTTCACATGTTCTTGATATCTTTTGTCAAAGTTGAACGCTGTTATGAGAGACAGCGGTCCCGTCCAGTTCATAATGTTTCCGCACTGCGTTTTGACTGTTCTTCATCGACAAAAATTTATAGTGTAATATTAATTTTCAATATTAATTGAATGGGATCAAGAACGGCTCATTCCAATGAAGTCTTTATTGTCTCAACTACAGGACCGCTTTTGAAGGAGTCGCAATGCCAACAAGAAACATCATGCAGAGGTTAAATAAGAATTATATTTACTATCATCGTATTGTTCTCTAAAGATGATGACGTTTTGGAGCTTAGAGTTTTCCATCTACCCTGATATTTTGATTAATAAAAAGCTGAAATGGATCCATTATCTGTAAGCAGTTTCACAGGAGGGATTGACGTTATTTTTATAATAGAGTTAAAGTTATGAGTTAGTGACTTACGAAACTGTGTAATTGATGTATATGGGCTAGAACTATTGTTACCTCGTTCTAACTCAAGCAACACATATTTTAAACACACTGGCATGTTGGTAACATTCCCTTGCTAGTGTTGCAATGCTCAACATGCAATTAACTCTCATCATCATGACCTGTTATCCTGAAAACAGGTTATCCACAGGAAACAGGTTATCATGGAAACAGGTTTAAGTGACGTAGTTGAACAAGAACACAATTTTTATTTGAAACTAAATATTTGTTATTGAATTGATTAGGTTTTACGAAAGATTAGGTTAAATGAAATAACCTACAGACCCAACGCAATATACGCGATAATAAAATCCTCCGGTCAACCCAGATGAGGAGGGAAGGGAAGGGTAGGAACTCATGCGTCAGTTGACTAGAGTATGGAGAACCTTTTAGCATCAATCGGTTTGTACTGAATTTTGTTCATGAATCGATTTGTGCTATTTAACTTATTTACAATTGAATATTAAATATTTATTTAGCACCATCATTTGAATAATTCAGGTAAACAAAAAATTGCAACATTAAAGTCAAATTTATGCTAGAATTTACTGTTTTTGTTAATTTCGTTGGCGTCGCGCCAGCAAAAGAAATTGTTTGTTTTGGAAATCCTTTAAAAAGGATTCAGTAGGCACGTGTCCAAATAAAAAAAATACAGTCGGATCGGGAATTTCTAAATTACGTTTTTTTATCGGTACATCCTGGCCGACAACCTGAGCTGGGGGTACGTGGTTATAGGACGCGGCATTAAAATGTAACAAATGTTGGCTCACACCGCCGACCTCATCTGAAGATAGGGAATTAACACTTAACACAATTTGTAGTTGTTGCCGTGACACTTGGAAACTGTTGAAAAGAACAGGTGGTAGCTCAGAGTGGCCAGGAAGAAAAATGAGAAATATAAAAGACTCCTGGAGATAGAAAAGGCGCAAATACATGACTAAGTTGAATGTAGGTGTGTGGGATTGCCCGGTAATGTTCTTGGCGATGTCCAAAAATCACGTGATGTGAAGTTTAATCTTAGCACTATTAAGTTTTTATGTAATTGCCCAAAATTTTGCCCTCCCTGCCGACCTCACCTGGGGCTGTGTGGGAGGGCGCGGCACTAACGTTGGGCAGAAGTTTGCCCTCAATACCGCCCTCGCCTGAGGAAGAGTTTGAGGAACCGCCAGGGAAGGAGAAGGCGCGTTGAGGTTGACCAGGCCTGGGAAATTAATCCAACGAAAAATTCACTTCAAACTTGGCATGGGATTGCTTGCAAATGAGAGACACTGATTGAAACCAGCAACGAAAACCAAAGTAAATTTAAGATGTTCAATTGCATGCAGGTAGCGATGTAGGGTCTACCGCAGTTTTTTTAATATTAAAAAAGAGGCATTATCTGTTGATACCTAAGCTTATCGTAGGTTATAACAACACTAAAGATTAGAATGGTAAATATGCATGGATTTTCAGGCAAGTTACAAAATTAGACTTTTAAGGACAAGAAACGTCGGACTGAGCTCAGAACAACGATTGTTGTTCCCGGTGATGTGCGTTACATAATTAATTTAAAAATTGCATTAAATATTACAATTTTTCATGAACGATGAACCAGCAGCAGGTGCATCCACATTATGACTCACTCCACGTCCTTGTTTTGCGAGACGACGCGATTGCGGACCGTGCCCACGAAGCTCTCGGTGACCTCCAGGGGCGTGAAGAAGACCTTTTTGTCCTCCCCAGCCTGCAGGGCGCCGGCGTGGAGGGCGGCCAGGCACACCGGCGACCTCTGGAATGGCGTAGATCAAAGGAACAATTTTAGGGAGTTTCATAGTCGTTACAATGTTCGGGAAAACTGCTTGACAAACTGTATTGTATTCACGTCGGCCATGACTGACAGGATTTTCGAAGCGCGTGCGTAAAAGCCAATTTCAATGGAAATTCCCAGCCACTTATGACGACGTCGAGAGGCCATCGATCTCTTTTCCATTATTTTCCTGTTTCTTGACACACTGAACAAAATCTAAGGCACAGCGGAATTTAGGCTTACTTACGGCAGTATAGAATTGACTTCTCTTGTGCAACATGGCTATTCCAGGAAATTATCATTCAACTAGCAGAGCAATTTAAGTCATGATGTATAAATTTCTTTCAACGAAGAGTATTCAATGCGGTAGAGAATATTGAAGAAACACTATGCGACATAATTCAGACGAAATATTTTGATTCCAACTTGATGGATCTACTTTATCAGGATGACACGTACACTTTATGGTACGCTCATATTATTGAATGTATGAATGTTATGAAAGGTATATTGCCTTCCGTTGGGAGTGTTGGCTCGGATGGCTCGGATGGAGGAATTTTCACTAAAAATTTTACTAAAAACCGTTTGAATCTGAATAATGAAGAGACATTCGTTACTTCACGTAATATTTTAGTATTACGCCAATATTTGAGCTAAGATTGGAGTTGAGAGTGGTTGAGAGACGTTGAGCGATGAAAGCAAATATGACACTTTGGCTCGACCACAAGAGTTCGGGAACAACACAGCGGTGGAGCGAGTTTGCTTACAGCAGCACGAGGGCAATGCAAGAGATATTCCAACACAGCTGCCAAGAGACTCAACGACTTACAGGCAGGCATAAGTGGGCGCGGTGGCTGCCCGTTTGCGTAACCGAACTTTGGTCCAAGAAGTGTCTTATCTGCGAATGGTCACCTAAGCACGAGCGCTGCAGCCCAGTGAAAAGTAGTTTGTTTCGTGGTTGTTGTAAGTGAGCGCCCAGGAATCATGGCCGCGACATCGACGAAGTGTCCACTTTTTAAGCGAGCTCTATCGCTCTTGAGTAGCACACAGTAGCATTTGCATCATGAGCGTTTAGGGCATTAAACGCCGGCGCAATATGTATGGCCGCCTCTGAACCAAGAATTGAAAAACTATAATTCCCCCCCCCCTCCTAGTGTAATATAAATTGTAAAAATTCTCTCCTCAGAAACAGAACTAGTTACATATTCATTCTTCATATAGTAAATATTCAATATCGGTATGTAGGCTTCTTTATATTTTAATCAGTGTTCTTACCACTGTCGCCATCCGTATGAAGAAACTAGGACACCGTGTTTCGGGAGAGCGGGTAACACATATAGGCTACCCCAACGGGATAGTGAGAAAGCATGGCAAGTAAATAAACACAGCCATCGAAATTTCTATTTGTAAAAGATAACTATTAATGAAATGCACGTATATTATTTAAAAGAAACTATATAAATGAACAAGAAAACTTATGAGAAGTACACTCAGTAATCCTAGGTAGCTTTCAGACCTGGGCCTATACTTTCAAAAAAAGTTAAGAGATCGTAAGTTCATCAGCCAATCATTGACGGCCTTTCAAGCAAAATCCTCCAATCATAGACAAAAAAATAGAGCGTAAGTACTTACGTTAACTTAGCAAGTTTTGAAGGTATGGCCCCTGAGATGCAAAGTTGAACAATAAAGAACACAAAATTTGGCTGGGCCCATCCGTACGTCACCGGTGTTATCGCCGAGAGGAAGTCACAGTTTATCGGAGATCGGCAAGGTCAAATTAATTCAAAGTGTGGGAATCTAGCGGGGTAGCGCAGTGCTTGCCGAGATTACGCCGGGACTCTTATCCAACGTCTAACGTTGCCAACAAGTTTCAGCTTCCTTCTACACTGTTCACAGAGTGGGAAGACAGATATTCAAATATAGAACGAAGTCCATGCGACGTACAGCGCCGGAAGCGGTACGGTCTTCGAGACTGGTTCTCGAGCTCGGAAGTTAGAGGTTCGGAAGCGGTACCGCAGCCGTCCATGGACGACGAAAGAAGTTGTCGATGTAGACAACTTCAAGAACTTGGGTTTTAATGAATCGGGCTCGAAAGGATGACGTCACGGCATCGAATCACCAGATGCATTGTGGGATCAGCCGCCATATTTGTAGCAGGGTCTAGCTTTCGCCTACGTGTTAAATCTACTGCGATCGTCTCTTTTTGAAGTTTTTGATTGAAGATGGGACGCTATTACACCGTTGTAGGATGTACCAGTCGTTCTTACTGCCATTTAAACAGAAAACTATACAATGGCATGCGTTTATTCAGTTTACTAGCCGTGAATGCAGTGCATATCGTATCAGTTTATGGCTCGTACTGATATACGTATCGCATATCAGTTTACCAGCCGTGAATATTTATTAGATACGATACTATACATATTCCAGGGGCAAAATCTGTTACTTGCCTCTAGATAAGCTACATAAGTAAGAATAAAACTTAATAATATTTACAGATCAGATAACATTGTCATGATCCATTATCCTGCAGCGATGATAGTGTTGTTGCAGTTTGCTGGTTTGTTGGAAGATCAAAATTATTCTCTTTGTTCTATAACATCAAATGTTTCGAGTTCTTTATATTGCCTTTCAATTTTAATATAAATTGGTTTTGCAAAACGTTGAGGTTTCTGGTGAATTGGTGTGTTGTTGCTTGTTGGTCAGTTCTGTGGTCTGAGGTGTCACATGAGCGCGTCCAATATCGGGATCGGTATTACTGTGAGCCGACCTAACTCTGGTTACTTGGTAAGCATTGATAAAATTCTATCCTTTTCCTCTTCAGAAAGGTAAAAAGGAATTTCATTTTCCATTCATCAGCATCATTATCTTCGTCCAGTTGTACTACCAAACTAACTCTACCAGGTACATCGCCTTTCTTGATTCGTTGAAGTTTCGTTTCTCCATCGCCTGTACCCATCCATCCACAAATTGTTTGTAAGCTTCAAGCGTCTTGTATGCCTTGAATTCTTGCAAGGCGTATTAGTTGACCACCAAACACCAAATAGCTTAGTAAATCACCGTGTTAAACGGGAGGCAGGCTTGCAAAATCTGCACATCACGACTTTGCCGGCACTTCGTAGGCATCAACATCGTTAATGTCGAACAATTTTTTTAATCAACAATTTTCTTAAATATCGGTCTCTCACTGAAGGAAGGAGTTCTTGACAACAGCCTAATCCTTTCTGCTTTGTTCTTTCTTTCTCCGTTGCTACCAAAACGTCCAAATGAGTAGGAACGCGAGAGTAAGCTGAGGCGCCAGTGTGATACAAAAATGGCGGCGTAGCAACGCGGCTAACGTGGATACGCGGGAGCTTGGCGAGCTCGATGGTTGACGGCAGCGTCGGAGGATAAATCCCAAGGTATTTTCTTGCCAGACAACCGACCAATTACTGCTTCCTGCCACGCCCATCCAAGCAGGCGGCAAAATCGAAAGTGAGCCGACCAAGGCTCGTGTTCAATTTCAGCTTCGAGTAATGCGTCGGAATGAAAGAAGAGCGACAACGACAGGCAGAAATTCGGGCCGCTACAACCGGCCGAGATTCGACTTTGTGCCAAGACTGCACAGACATGCGCGAGGGCTTTGCCTCTGTGCACTACTTGGCAAGCCAGCGAAACTTGATTTTAGCCAGTCCACTAGCTAAAATCATTCCATGTAGGTAATTTTGACTTAGTATTTACGTCGCATCGTGATGGTTAACATCTTTCCTACTAAAATTTAAACATATTGATAGCTCGCTTCAACACGAATTTCATTGTCCAAAATGTTTTAAGAAGTTTTCTAACTCCAGTAGAATTAGTTATTAAAGCACCTGCTGGCACTTGCGGGTTGGTGTTTCTGTTGGTGTCTTTAACTTAAATATGTTTTACTATTAGAGGCTTGTAGAAGCAGTTATTGATCAGTTATTTAGCATTGAAAATCAAACACCAATTTAGCAGAATAATGGCATGCAGAGCAGCATGGTGGACTTAGCAGGTGCATCTTCGAGGCATTATGTCGTGAGCGGTGACGCTATACCAACACCTTCTGTGACATAGTATCGACGACTGGCATGCGGTCTATCCCAGCCGCGCAACAATGCATGCGCTGTTAAGTAGCCCCTAGACGCACAATATTATTGCGCAATATTGTTGAGCATCTGGGGCGAAATTGACGGGCTGGACAATATATTACGTGATTTCAGAATCTTGAAAATATATTACGCAAACTGGAAGATATTGTGTCGTCAAGGGGCTACATTGCGCAATATTAGCTCAGTGCAACCCTAGCGGTCATTGCAAGTAGTCGTGGCAATCTCGTGTCCTTATCATGGCGGGCGAAATGAACTTTTCCTGGACTATTTTGAGCTTTATAGCGTTCTACCAAGCTGCATTGGATTTTAAAGCAAATATAATACTAATTTTTAGAAGAAGGGGAGCAGTGCGAGATACTAATTCAAAAATAGTCTCAGTTCATGTACTATCTAGTAACTTTTTCGAAAAAACTTCTCCCTGTCAAAAAACCAGTAATTTGACTATTTTTCTCTATCTGCGAGCCTTCTCTGTTATATTCCACGAATTTCGATAACTTAATTATGATACAACACGATTCAGTCTCGTTCAACATGTTAACTTCATGAAAGCCTGGCAGGGACTGTTTACGCAAAACTGGTTGTTAGTCTGGGGGCGTGATGATCCAGACAATCAATAATATTGCGCAACCCGAAAATATTGCGCAATGATTTTGAGCGTTTAGGGGCTACTTAATTAAGGGGAGCATGTCGGTCAAAATTTTAGATTTTGGCTTTTCCGGTTTTTAGTCTCATCTTTAAGCTGACATTCTGACCCATCCAACGGTACCAAAACCATC